AGCCAGGAGCTACCAGTACCCCCAGTGTGTCTGGGTGAACTGGTTGGGGGTGCTGCTCCACTGACACACACAGAGCTGCTGTTATTGCTGACGTGTTGCACCGCCACATCCCTCCATAGTAAAAGCAGCGGCGACCCTCACACACACACACACACACACACACACACACACACACACACACACACACACACACACGAGATAAAACCCACATAAAGCCACCATGACAGGCATTAAACCGCAATCTGTCTCACGTTGAAGCAGGAAGATGCGTCTAGCAGCTGCTCTTCTTCACACTCAGTCTCGGTGTGTAAACGGTGTCCACATGGTTCGTGCAGACGGTGCCACATAGACAACAACTGCGTTCGTCATCCGCTGGACCAGTTTCCATACACATTATGATAAAATGCGCACACACACACACACACATAGCGGGGGAACTGGACTTGACCGTGAAGCCTGCTTTTCTTACCGTGTAGTGGATCCGCAGCGTGTCTCCCATTGTCGAAAGTACGGAGCAAGTTTCGGGTTTCACCTTGGGTCAGAAGAGTTAACTGTTAGACACCGTTGCGTTTATTTCCCAGTGGGTGTTTTTAATGTGTTACTGTGGTGTGTGACTGTGTTACATTGTGTTACATTGTAATACGTGTGTGTGTGTGTGTGTGTGTGTGTGTGTGTGTGTGTCACTCACCAAGGTCTCCACCTGCAGCTCCTCGACTGCATTTTCTTCCCCCTGCGCGGCTCCACAGGTGAAAGCTGCGAGCAGCAGCAGGAAAACGCCGGTCTTCATCGTGAACTTGTGGAAAAGAGCTGCCATCCAACAACTTCCGTGTGGGCTTCTTCTACATATGGCAGCGAGGAGAGAGAGAGAGAGAGAGAGAGAGCGAGAGATAAAGAGAGAGAGAGAGTCTGCCCCCGTCGACCCCGTGTGTCCAAAATGGCTCAGCAGCGAGTAATGCTGATGTGTTACAATGCTGGAGCGATAAGGACCAGAGGCCCATGGACGTTGCCCCAACACCTGGGTCTCCCTGAAGAGCCTGCCTCAAACATTCCGCCAGCATCCCATCTGGCCGCCGCGGCTCACAGGCGGAAGCGGCGCCCTGCAGGGCCGCTGGGGGGCGCCGCGGTGCTGCTGCTGCTGCTCCGTGTTGGAGAGGACTGGCAGACAGCTCCAGGCGCCACGTTGCTGTAGTGCCCCCCTCCCCCCCCTTCTGGTAATGACTGCCAGGGGTGGAGGAAGTGTTCAGAGCCTTTATTTAAGTACAAGTACTTATAGGCTACTACACTGTGAAAATAGTCCACTACAAGTAAAAGCCTGCATTTAAAAAGAATACCAGCAAACAGGCTACTTAAAGTGTGAGAAGTATGAATGGTCCCTGACAGAGTTTTACTGGGATTTTGGGGGATTTTAATATTACTGCTGCATAAATGTTTACGTTTTATTTTACTCTGTTTCTGCTAATTTTAACTCCTTTTTTTAAATTTATTTTTAGTGTTGGGTAGTTTCATCTACAGCAATGTATCATATTTTATAAAATCAATATATGTTTGTAGCTCCACTGTACTGTGAGGACCACGTATCTCTAAACAGCTTTCATGAGCTCAGACAAACAACCCCCCTTTTCAGCTTTGTGACAGTGCATTGCAGCGAATCCAAGATGGTTTTACAAAATTTACATTTTATTTAAGAAGTAGGGGAATTTTCTTTACCCATAAAGGAACAGTTTGTCCTTTGGTTTAAAAGAAAATAAAATCCAATTCAAATTCACCAAAGTTGGACATACGTGGTTTTCACTAAAAGGGTATGAACATTTGTAATCTGAAAAGTAACTAACTAAGCTGTCAGACAAATGTAATGGAGTAAAAAGTATTAATTTACCTCTGAGATGTAGCAGAGTAAAAGTATGACATTGCATCACATGGAAATACTCAAGTAAAGAACGAGTACATCAAATTTGTATTCAAGTACAGTACTTGAATAAATACTTAGTTAGGCTACAGTCCACCACTACTGACAACAGAAATAAAATATGATGAAAGGAGAGGGCTAATCCTTTTCATTTCACCTCATCAACTGTGTTGTTGTCATCCACTAATTACTGATATTGTCTTGCTCAATTTGCAACAATGACCTGAAAAACTACAACCATTCAAATCACCAACTGTCTCAAGTCCTCTGTTTGCCAGCAGGATATCAGGGAAGTGTCACCAGCACAGATTGCAGTATTTGTGCCACATGCTCATGTATTAGACAAAGGATAGTTTGTCATGCAGAGGCGTCCGAGTTAAGCTTGTTAGATTAGACTAATTAAAACAAAACAGTCTGCTCAATCGTAAATGTTTAGGTGTCAAAGAAATGTAAATGTGAGGTCAGTAAAACCCTAAATGGCTGAAATCACAGGAAATACAGATTCTCTGAAATAAAAGAACTGAATGATCAAGAATGTTAAAACATTGTCACAGTGCAGCACTGAAATAGAAATGAATGACTCATCTTTGAGTGCAAACTTAAGCTAAAACCTGCTTCCTCCTTCAGATCGCCAAAGTAGTTATGGGAGTACATGCTGGTAAAAAAAGTACTTAAAAACATGTATATGATTTGGCCCCATCATCGCATTTAGCTATACTTGTTTTATCTTCCTTATGTTTGTATTTACATGCCCCCTATGTATGTTTGATTGGGTATGGTTATACCCATATGTGTATTTGTTGTTTGTAAGGCACTTTGGACCTCTTTGTTAAAAAGGTGTTATATGAATAAAGCTTACTTACTTACTTACTTACTTACTTACAGTACTAGACTGCATCATGTGGGATACCTGTATGTATGTAGATTTACTGTGACAGATGTTGGTAAAAACGTGAAATTATGATATGATCCATCATTATGAGTCATGTTACGTAGCAACATCAAAATCAGAACTATCTCACACTGAAATGCTCTCTGACATTTATACTGATCATTTCAAATTTTCTCGGTTCAATTTAGAAACTTTGTTCCCCATGTGTAGATGAAAATATTGCACAAGTGTTGTGCAATACTGAAGACCAAAGCACCATTTCCTGAAACTCAATTCTTCACACATACAACAGGAACTTTATATAACAGGTTGTCAGGCTCAGTAGCAATTACATTATTACAACTTTAAAATTGTTAGTCATGTCACTTCCAGTTGCTAATTAAAATTCGGTGAAGCAAGCCTGTAGCTTTTGGTCATCTCTTGGAAACCCTCCTGAGCTGGTTTGCAGTGTTTTAATGAGGGAAGCTGGTTATACTTCTCAGCCTTTGGTGTTATGACTGTTGTGTGACTGTTGTGTAATTCATTACCATTAACCACTACATGATTTTCACAGCAGACATGTTGTCTGGTTATAACAGGAAAAACAGAGGTGTAACTAATAACATCATTGATGGCTCTTTGCCATTGAACTGTTAATCTGGCCCTGGTTGTTAATCCGGGGTCTACAATGGGGAGACATGGGCCCAAAGCAGAGGGAGACATTTGGACTAAAATGTTTGAAGTCCTTAAATGTAGATTTATTAATTTGAATAATTGTGAACAAACTTGCTATTTGAGACAAGCTTAAACATGTTTTTTTCCTATAGAGATGTAATGACCAACACAGATGTCACTCTTTTTTCGCTGCTTGGATTTTCTCAACCTCCAGTTGTTTTTTTCAGTATACAGTACCTGTATGGACAGTGGTTTCTCTTAATTTCCTCCTCCTTGTGGTGTATTCTTGGTCCAGCTTTTAGATGTGGACTGATGGACCCGGGTGAAAAGGTCATTTCCATAGCAGATGCCTGAACCTGAGGATGCTCATCCCACACATGGTGTGACAGGGGAGGATGTTGCAAATGGCATGGAGGATGCTCCTGTTGCCACCGTGGGTGTTGGAGCTGTAATCAATACAACTACATTCACCGCAGCTGCAGTGAAAGAGGGAACCTCTGTCACTGCTGGCAGTGGGCAGTCTGTGACTAGGGAATGGGATGGTGCAAAGTTGCTGTCACCAAATATATTACTATACACCTTTTTCACAGCAGCCATATGACATGAAATAGTAGGATAAGCACAGCCCTGTGACTCTTTGACCTGAATGGAACAGAACCTATTATTAGTATCACTGATAACACCCGTGTTTTCCTACTATTTCATGTCTGAATGGCTACTATAAAAAATATTTGATGGCACTGCAGCCAGGGGAAGGGCTTTACGTCTTTACTTTGCTTGGCAGATCATAAAATGTCATTGTGACTCCTGGATGAGCTTTCATCAAGCTGTCACAGCAGTTATTGATGAGCCTCTTCACTGTGGCCCGTATACACTGCAGTCTAAGGGTTCAGCGTATGGGAACAGTGTGAGGAGGGGGTGAGAGGAGGATGATCCCATGGCTCCTGCAAAAATAATTTTCCTCCACAGAACAGGCAGGAGAAATGACTGTCCATAACTAGCAGCAGCACTTCTGACTCCAGAGCTGACTTGGTGTGTCTGGAAGTCTTGCATCCATCCAAGAAATGGTGGGATGGTATGGTCTCTTTAGTAGGGAGGGATGTATTACAAATGATACAGGTGTCATTGATCTGCCCCAATAAAGCTAACAGAAGAGTTAGGGAGGTGTCAATCAACATTTGTAGACATCCATAAAATGTCCTCAGAAGGTCGAATCAGCCAGAATAAGTGATCACCTGTGGTGATAGACCATGTGGGCCCTTTAAGGGTAACATGACAGATGTTAACACATTCGGTCACCAAATACAGCTATATTTGTTAAGATGTGTCTATAACTAATTAGTAAAATGAATGTCTGAAGGAGTATTTAAGTCTTGAATGGATAAACAGTAGACACAGACATGGAATTAAATCATGGGCCAATAGCAAAAACAAGTCAAGCCCATTTGATATATACACTATCTATTAAAAATAGGTATTGATATGATAACAAACCGACACATTTGAACAAACTTTGTTGTTCAAATATCCTTTTTTAAACGACTGTCAACAAATTCCGGTTTGGTTTCGATCTCCACTCTCGCGAGACTTCGTTTACTGCTGCGTTGTCCACCAGAAAACACCGTGAGACGTTTAACAGTGGAGGAGTAACTCAGCCAAGGTAAGCGAGGATTGTGGCACCACCATCAACCCCGGTAATACACACGTATAGGTCCCAGCAGCGGATGAAATAATGTCGTGTTTTGTTGTCTGTGCTGCGGTCCGTTGTGTAGCCTCGGTGTTGTCCGGGCTCGAGCAGCGGCGGGCGGCTCGCAGGCAGCAGGACGCCCGCTGTGGTGTTGAACGGGGATGGATGAATGGGGTGGATCGGGACGGAGGATAACGCTTAGCTACCGCCACGTCTCATCGGTTGAGCGACTAAAAAGCGTAACTAGACTCATAAATGAGATCCTAACAGATACGATAACGAGGACATGATCAAGCTTTGTGGCTCAAATTAATTTATGGATGTTCAGTTAGAGAGGAGAGATGCGCGCGGGCGATGTTAAAGGCTAACGTAACCTGAGTCACCCAGAGCTGAATTGACATTATCAGGCCGGGATAGTCGTGGCCCTGCTTCCCTGATAAATCCCCATTGTATAGCTCATATTTTAACCCGTGAACTCTCCCCGTGTGAGAGGACTGAGCTGGTGTCTCAGGCAGTTAAATTGTGGGTGTCCTCTTCAGCACCATGGACAGGGCTGCACCTAGCTTCACATCTACTGACGACTTCATCTATCTGTGGTTCATCTTCTGTCTCTCACTTTATTGAGTTTAATAATTCTCTGAATCAGTCACTGTTGTTGTAGGTAGGGTGATTGAGTAAGTGCACTTTGATGATAAGGATTAATATAATGATATAAATTGAAGTTGAATTTCCCCTTGGGGATGAATAAAGTATCTAATCTAATCTAATCTAAATTGAGACATCTTGTCTCCTTTTCACATTGAAATATAACACACATACTTTATAACTCAAAGTAAACCACTATGTTCACATAGCACATACCACACAATATGCCTACAATGTCCAAAGATGCTTTTGTACATTTAGAAGACATTAGTTCTTCACTGGCACAGTTTTTCTATAAAGTTGTTAAAAATATTTGTTGTTCTCAACCTGAAAAATGGGGAATATTTTAATTTCACTAGTATTTAATGTGCTCATTTCAAGTTAGCACAAAGTATGAGGATGACTATTGTGTTTTTACACTCTTCATTGTTAATCTGTCAATCCGTTAGGCATGACTAAATCTTATCAGACATGGATCCCTGACACTACATCTTATCAAATATAAGTTTGCGGCTCGATATGTATAAATAAAACTACTGGAGTAGACCGTAAGATACTAGCCTGGATCTAGACCTCAGACCAATCTGTGCAGCATGTCAAATGAATGATTTAAGTAAAACTAAATGGCTAATCAATCTGATCCTCAAGCTAGAAATATGTGGTTGAAAGCTCAGGGAGCCAGTAAATGGACCTTTGAGCTTAGATTATTTTGTTGCATGCGAGTATTTTGGTCACTAGAATTGTATTTTACTCATATCCCCTGCTGACGACAATACCTGCAAAACATTTTTGGTCTCTTGCAATATTTAGACTATTGCCAGCCAGCCAGGCCTGGTAATGTAGGACATTTTGCATGTGCTCCGAGGGCTTGGCGTTGTTGCAGGCTAACATTTGAAAGGAGAAAAAAAAACCCAGTGTGAAGGGTCTGAACAGATTGTGCTGCAGCCTGGAGTCATGGCACTGACATGCATCTCCTTCAGCCTCTTTATGATGATGACTGTGGGCAATTTGCATAGCTTGGACCTGTCTTTTGGCGTGCATGTAAAAGTGAGATTTTCCGGCATGCTGGTGTAGTTTTTTTTAGAAAGGTGAGAGAAGGTGAGCTGAAGTATTCCATTTATTGTAATTTAACAAAGCCTCTTACAGAGTTTATTTTATTAATCATCCTCTCTTCATTTGATGTTTACCTCATAATATAGCAATGCACATAAATGGCTATTTGTTTCCTTTCAGCCCTTCTTCATAATCTGTCTCTGCTGGACGAGCAAAACTCCACACAAAGGCATCTAGAATCAGGATTGTAGCTACACACTGAAGTTTAAGAACTTCACCTGAATCATGGGGAACATTTTCGGGAATTTGCTGAAGAGCCTCATAGGGAAGAAGGAGATGAGGATCTTGATGGTGGGCCTCGATGCCGCAGGGAAAACGACAATCCTCTACAAGCTCAAACTGGGGGAAATAGTCACTACAATCCCAACCATTGGTATGTAAACAGTCAAAATAACATTTGTTGTAAAATATTGTCACGCCCACTGTGTTTGCTTTTCATGTTGTATGACAAAGCTCTTGTTTTCAGGGTTTAACGTGGAGACGGTAGAGTACAAGAACATCAGCTTCACTGTGTGGGATGTAGGTGGGCAGGACAAGATCCGGCCCCTCTGGAGACACTACTTTCAAAACACACAGGGTGAGCGGAGCTAATGAGAGGTTTAAAGCGGTTACACTTTCCTCTTCTCCTCTTCAGAAAAATATTGTGTATTTGGTTTGTTTTTCTCGCTGTTGCAGGTCTGATCTTTGTGGTGGACAGTAATGACAGAGAGCGTGTGAACGAGGCACGGGAGGAGCTGATGAGGATGCTGGCTGAGGACGAACTGAGAGATGCAGTCCTCCTTGTGTTTGCCAATAAACAGGTACGAACCCATAACTGTTCTGCATATATACACAGAACATATAAATAAATCCATAAATAGGGTTATAGTGCAGGATGAACCCGTCAGCCCACCACGTACCGGTGATTTAAATATTTTACTGCATTTTCATTGTAGTTTACGTTACATTTACAAGTTGACACAACAGAGAAAGAGAAGAAAGCCTCAGCTCATCAATACTATAATTATCCTGGGTCAGAATTATAAATGAACAGATACAATGATCTTATGAATGAACATTAATATTATCCAAAGTAATAACATCAAACGTTAAACTTTATTTTTATTATTACACAAACCAAACTAACATACAATCACAATCTGACATTAAAATCATCCATTCATTTATTTGTGAAACAGTTGTGTTTTTACAGTTGAATAAAATACAATTGGTCATTTAATATACAAGGTAATTCTGTCTACGGCTGCAACTAACGATTATTGTTATTTATTTTTATTTTCATAATTTCATTATTGATTAATCTCCCTATTATTTTCTTGATTATTTATTTCATTGTTTTGTCTATATAAAAATAAATAAATAATCAGTTTTCTTCATGTTTTCACATTTTTCTCGGTCACATAAAACAGAGAAATTCTCACATTGGAGAATTGTCGCCTATTAATTTTTTTTCAGTTGACTAATCGATTGATTGGCTGATCCCAAAATGAAGCGACTATGGAGCGTTCCTAAATTGTTTATAAAAAGGTTCCTTTCTGCTTACGGCCTTTTAAGCATTCTTAGAATAACCCAAACTATATAATTTCACTGAGGATAAATAATAACTTTGTAAGATTTTAAAGTAGACATTTTAGTCCTTTGGCAGTGTATGGGTATCATCTCGCCATACGCTTTCTTAGTTAGAGTCTGCTGAGATTGATACCTCTCTAATATCTGTCCCTTAAACATAAAGCTACCACAGGCAGCAGATTAGCTTAATTTAGCATAAAGACTGAAAACAGGGAAATTTACCTACCAAGAATAAGCCCTGTTTCAAGTTTGTGTATGTATTAATCAAATAAGATGCATGTTAATTAGTGAGCTGACTAAATGCTTGTAGGCATAATTTCCTTATGGACAGAACCAGGCTAGCTGTTTCCAGTATTTATGCAAAGCTAAGCTGTATTATATTTTATCATATCCTTTAAAGGTTATCATTTAATTTTCCGTCATATAACTTCATGCCTATTTCTATGGCCACAGCTAACGATTATTGTCATTATCAATTAATGTCTAAATTATTTATTTATTAAGTGTTTAAAATATCAGAAAATTGTGGAAAATACCCTCCACAATTTCACAAATGAAATAGAATCCAAAGATCTTTAACTTACTATCAACTATCGAAGAAAAGCTAAAACTCTACACATCAAAATATCTGAAACCGAAGTACACACACACATGCATAAATATTTTAACCCAAACAATAACAGAAGACATCAACTGTCCTGTCACTTACTCTCCTCACTCAACTCTCTCCTCTTTGACAGGACTTACCAAACGCCATGAATGCTGCCGAGATCACGGACAAGTTGGGCTTACACTCTCTGCGCCACCGTAACTGGTACATCCAGGCCACCTGCGCCACCAGCGGTGACGGCCTCTATGAGGGTCTTGATTGGCTGGCCAATCAACTCAAGAACAAGAAATAAGAAGAAAACTAAAAAGCAGCCAGAAGCCACACCCGTCCAACTTTTTATTTGTTTTGGGACATGGCTTGTGCGAGGGTTTTGATTGATGGGTGAAATGCAAGATTCTGGGTTTGGGGGAGATTTTAGGCTTTCATGTTCAGTCTGTTGAGGTTCCTAATAGTTTTCAGCGCTTATTGAAAACAGATTCTCATGTTCTTCATATTTAATCACTCACACACACACACACACACACACACACACACACACACACACACACACACACACACACAAATGCACACTAACCCTAAGCCATCACAGCAGACACTTGCTTTTCCTGTGTCCACCTTTTGTCCTTAGGTGCAATGTACTGTATGTTAGTCTCTAGGTGCTGTACCAAGTCGTGTGACTGAGTCAGCAATGAGTCAAATATGACTTTTTGTTGATGTACGTCTTTCAACTGTCAGTCGTCCATGCAAAGAACTGTTCTGTGCCAGCTGCACTTCCTGTTTGTTTGTTTGTTTGTTTGTTTGTTTGTTTGTTTGTTTTTTAACAGAGCCATGTTTGAGAACAATCACAAATGGCAGATTCAAGTCACCACAATTCACTTTAATGGTTTGTTCTCTCTTTTTAATTGGTGAGCAATGCTGAGGCACTTTGATACTCAGATAGAGTGTGTACGTGTGTGTGTGTGTGTGTGTGTGTGTGTGTGTGTGTGTGTGTTTGTGCAAGTGGCCTATTCAGTGTTAAACGCAAACAACTCTCTGAAACAGAAAAAGACAACAGGACTGGAGCTTCCTCCTCCACGCGTCCTCTTACTGCCTCATTTTGGAAATCTTTTGATATCTGTGGCGTGTTTCTACTCCCCGTGTGGCAACCTGGAGCGTCAAAGCCGCCCTTTTTAAATATTTTAAAATGCTCTACACGTCCTTGACTGCCTGAACTGCATGCATCCTGGTAGATCTCGCTGACATTGTTGCGCACTCTTCCATCCTCTGAGCTGCATGGATGTTGACGCTGTTTATAGGTTTTCTGTAACTCATCGTGTTCTGGTGCTGTTTAACAGTATAGGATGCAGAAACTAACCAAACCACCAACTTCTGCATTAGTTGTCATGCTCTAAATACAGTATAGTCAGCTTAATGGTCTTCTAATGTGAAAGCAGTATTTAGGTTAACCTGCACATAAACACGACACACATGATCCGCGCAGCTGCTGCTTGTCTGCATTCATGTGTGTCCATATGAGTATTCAAACTGCGTCAGGTTGCTCTCGCTTTGTGTGTGTTTTTTGTCTCAGACTTGCATATCGGGGGGTTGATTCTGTTGCTGATGAGTCTGTGTTACCGAATGTGAATATTGTTGATGAATCTATATATGGCTGTAATGATATTTATTTGACATGCATATTCCTTTATTTCAGTGATAAGTGTGTCGGCATAATTATGTGAAAGAAAGCAGGGTAAGCGGATCAATTCATTCACTTCTGAACAGCAGACGAGTTACTGCGTCACCACTGATACCAGCAGAATCCACAGACTTCTGTCAGAAAATGTATTTCTCTGTGCCATACATGGGTACTACTACTCATATACCAGTGACAGTACAACATACTGTAAGTCCACTCTACTTAGTTATGAGTGCATTGTTCATATTCCACATCTATCATACGTTAAATCATGAGTTTGATCATTTGGGTTTTGTGGCCTTATATTTAGTGGTGACTTCAAACTGATTTCCTCTCGGCTTGTGCGTTTCTGATTTTAAGTCACATATATTTATCTATAAAGAATGATTTACAGATTTATTTCTCTATGCCCTCAAAAGGCGGGTTTTGCACCACAGTTCAGGATGATCAGGCAAAGGTTTTGTCTTCTGTTTTACCAGTATACTTGATTCATATTTAGTGGTAGGTTTATTTTGGTTTTCTTTGGGGTGTAAAGAAACTTTGATGTAGACTGTGTCTGTGAAACAATGATAATCCGTGCAAACAAAACAAAAAAAAAAGAAAGAAAAATACTTCTGATGATTCATTCTGTACCGTTATAGTTACACAAGTAGATTTAAAAACGGTGAAGACCATGTTTCAATGCTGAATGCAAGGAAACATCTGTATGTGATGTAAGACAACAAACAAAAATCCTGCTGTATTACAAATAAACTCATTTTCTGTATGACCTGTCTCATCAACTGTGTGTGAGGATTACTGATAGATTCCATTTATACATATATACACCAGATATTTTATATTAATGCTCACAAGTGACTGGAACAATAGATCAGATCTTGCTCTGACAAGCTTCCACCAGAAGAGGACAGTCTTGAGCTCCAATATCTGTTTATTGAATGTGGTTTGAAGCATGAAGAGCTGTGTAAGTTTTTAAGCTAGCGTGCAGCTTTTTATCCTAGTTTTCCTGTTTGGAAACCCCCTCAAACAGCTCAGAAACATACTTTACATTGTTCTATAACTTTGATACTTAATGACTTTGACTAATTTTCCGAGCATTGCTTCTAAAAAGGATTTTAAACAGAAGATGTTTCTGAAGAGAGCTTTAAAACGTGGATACATACAGCAGATTTATATCTGTTCTGTATGTTCACAGTACTTTTCTACACAGCTCTACCTCTCTCAAATTATAATAGATTTATAATTAGTAGAGGAAGTAAAGCCAATGTCTACAGGACGAGAGGGTTTAAAAGGCAAGTAATAGTATTTTCCTGACTCACTGTGTTCTTAAATTTGGCAACTTTTAGTCCAAGAAAACAAAAGACACAGACACAAATGGAAAAAATGCAACAATTTAACACATTTTTTCACTAGACTTTATTCCTGCAGAGTAAGAATAATCGAAATCCACATTAACAGAGAGGTCCATAAAGAATTTTCAAGTCTCTCCAAAATGGCTGATGACTATTTGGACATATGACCTTTGGATATCTAAACTCTTGGTTCTGATTCATCATTAAGTATGTTTGATTTTTGCAACAGTGGGTTTCGGTTATACTTTATTCTTCAGAAGTCTCATCTTTTAAATAAAGCATATTTGGCAAAAATACTTTCCTGATTTATAATTCCTCTCTACCTGTTGTAGCTGGGGGTGATCACACATTTATTATAATGACATAATGACAGATTCTGATGTATGTGTGTGTGTGTGTGTGTGTGTGTGTTAACTGTGTCCTGTGCTACTTTGTTAAAGGGAATAAAAGTGCAGACGAGACTCTGTTGCTGTTCTTCTACAAGAACCACTTGTGATGTTACAATGTTTTTGTTTTCTTGCACTTGCACACAGGACAAAAAGAAAAAAAAAAAAAAAAAAAAAAAACTTTTTAGAATGACTTCCTGGTAGTGGTGAAATATTAACCAATTGTTTTGAACACCCCCTCTTACATTTCAAAGGGTCTGACTGGAAAAGCAGATGGCCCCGACTGTGAACTGGAGAACTTACTGGAGATATTTGTCTGTCAGATGTATAATTCTGTGTAATTAACCTGTCTAGATAGAGAAACAACAAGTTCACTTGTATGTGTGTTTGTGACAGACTGGAGCTGCAGGCAGAGCCAGTTTCTACAGAGCAGTTCAGCTGGCTCGCCCACTCTTACAGGCAGACGATGTTTGCGTGAAGCCTGAGTGACAAACTAAGATGATGACGAGAGATAATATATTAGTTCAAGAACACTTCCTGTTGCATGTTTAACATTGGTGGAAATAATTACTATGTGCCACTAAAATTTGCTGACACGGTTATGCACAACCTCACACACGAATCAGGTCTAAGTACAGCAGTAAAATCATGCAGCCACAGAATGATGCTGCAATAAAATAATCTATATTTCCGGGCCACCAGTGTAAAGGAGTGGAGGGATCAAAGCCCGACTGTTAAGACAACAGCAATGTTCCTGAGGACCAGGTGTGACAAAGTGACACATACAGAGAGGAAGGAGGAGAACTTATTTTTAGATTATTGCTTTTACTGGACGGACAGTATTAAAGGGGATGTTTTTTATTAGGGGATTAAAAATGGTCGATTCTTTGTGTAAGAAACACATTTTCAGGTTATGAGGGGGAAAGATGAAGTGACTCACCTGTTCTGACCGTAATGATAAAGCTACTTAAACATCAGGGAACCACGATTGAGAGACAAATACTCACTGTGACCTGTTTGCACTGAATACCAGGATTCATTTTAGCTCTCTTTAGGCAAAATTCCAAAGGAATGAAACTGAGTGAGGAGATCTGAAGTGTATCAAGCTTCAGAAATGAACTTGGATGATTGAAAAATGCAGCATATCCACTCATTACTTGCATTTTCACACATTGAGGACAAAAGTTAGAGTGACATGTACTCCAATATAATAATAATGTGTGACAAATGCAGAATAAGGTGGAAAATTCCACCCTAGCACAGCTTTACCCACATTACTGTGCAGGAGATTCTGCATATGAAGACTGAGAATCAGTTTTTGACATGTCATCACATTGTAGATGTGATAAATGAAGAGAAATGTCATGTCGATTGTCAGTGAGGACCTTTTTGTTACATCTACACTAGCTATCTCACTACACATTCCCCATCAAATGCTCCATCTCTGTGGTTTTTGGACTTGTTGATAGCAGTAGTTATAAAAGCTCTGTTGTGTGACACAATGACTGGTGGATGTTCAGTGAATTACTGCTTTTAAGGCATACACATTGTGTAACTTGCAGTTTTTCTTTTAACCTTTGCTTTGCTACTTTTGAACAATTATTTCTCTCTTCTTTGTTTTTTTCCCCTTGATCTTCGCAGAGTGAGACCAGTCCTTTGCTGTCTTTGCCTGTAAACTTTGTAACCCCTTACTTTAATATAATTTGATTCAACTGAGTGTTTTCACTTATATTCTCCGTCTCTTAATTTATCAATTGTTATTTCTGTTTTGTTGCCGATGAAAATGTTGATGTTCTTGTGTCTTGTTCTGTCTGCTTTAATTATTTTATAACTTTCACTTTGAAAAGCGCAATATGAAATAACTTTAATGCAAATTCTGCAGTAAAATAAACATTTCGACGTTGATGATTGAGGTCACTGTTTTTCATGCAGAAAATGCATGTTTTCCCATCTAGATAAGAAACGGTATGTGCTGATGCATCCTTTAAGGTTCCCAGGCTATGTAACTACGTGCTATGTGCAGTCATACAGTCGTAGGTCCCTCCCTGTTAAATCAGTGCCAGACTAAAACAGGCGCTCCTGCCGCTGATTGGCTGCGCGCTGGGCTCCAATCACTGAGCTGTAGTGATTCCTGTCTCACACACACCGGAGCGGACGGCTTGTAAAGTTGCGGCTCAGCTGAATGCCAAACTGAGAAAACACAACGAGGTTTTCACTACAGGACGGATTTACCTTTTCATTTGACTACGCCTCAAAGGAAATAAGAGAGCGCCGGACAATCTGGATTAACTCACACTATTGCCTCTAAATGGACTCACTCGGACTGATACGACCGAGGACGATCTTTGACGAGAAAAGGACGCACTTCTCATCATAAATATGATTATTGTGTTTGTTTGAAACGCCACCAGCTTGGGAAATTTGAGTGAGGATGACCGCCCTCATGAGGAAGGTGCAGCAGGTGCTGTGCGTCCTGCTGCCGTGTGCTCTCCAACTCTGCAGCGCGCAGACACAAGGAGGTGGGCTCAAACACACACACACACACACACACACACACACACACACACACACACACACACACACACACACACACACACACACACACACACACACACACACACACACATACACACAAGATCAACTTTTCTGTCCAATTTCATCACTTTTCATGCTCAAGTAACCGGAAACATCCCATAAAATTCCCGGTGTGTTTGTGACAAATCTCTGTGAACACCTGGATTAGAGCCGCTTACTGCGCCGAGTGCTCTGATGTAGGGAAACACCTGTCCTCCCTCACCAGAACCTGTTCCGCACACGTATAACTTGTTTGCTGTGAGTCACCTGCAGCTCTCCCACGACTCTGTGTGTGCTTTACCGTGCTTGTTTCAATTGTTTCAAGGTTTTTTTGCGCCAGAGGAGCCCAACCTTTCACCGCCTGTTGACTGACGACCGCAGTCAGCTCCAAAAGAGCTTTACAATGGAAAACTTTACCTCTGATATGTTTAACTATCCACCTCTCAGTGTAGGCAGTGGTGGGAGAAGTATTCAGATTTATTTGTTGGGTTGAAGGAAGCTCTAACAATGTAAAAATACTCAAGCAAAAATCCTGCTTTTAATAGTAAAAGTACACATATTACACAAGTATTAGTAACAAACTGTACTTTTTAGGGAGCAGAATAGCGCCTATAAGTGTTCTATAGCTAAATTAATATATTAGTGTATGTATATATATATATATATACACACACATATATATATATATATATATAAGCAGTATCTTAATGTTGCAGCTGGTTGAAGTGGAACAAATTTTAACTGATTTGTACACTGTTGGGTTGTTTAATCTTGATTTAATTTGATCTGTTCTTCAGATGATCTTTGAAGTAAATAGTCTCCAATTATATTAATTATTTTCATTAGTTTGCGGGTGTGCCTCACACCAATCAATCAATCATTCTTAATATTATCATATTCAAACCATATTCAGACATTTTAACTTATTACATTTTTTTAAAGTTTTCACAATTAACTGATTTGTGCTGATTTTAAGTAACAAAATTGATGCAAATGATTAATAATTAACTATGACATGATTGATTTTTCAGAGTGTACTCTCCATTCCAAGAAAGTAAATATTAAAGATAAGCAACAAATGTTAACTATTGAGAAGCTGGGATTCCACTCTAGTAGCTAATTGTGATTCAATACTTCCTTTTGAAATATGGTGTAGAAAGAAGCATTAGATGGTACTCCCCTCAAGTACAGCACTCTAGTAAATGTACTTAGTTACTCTTCACCTCTGAGGTCAGTGATGTGTTTGAGGCAGAGATCAGTGTTGTGATTTGAATTGCAGTGAGACTCTGTGAACTTTGACCTTGTGCTCTTGTCAGGAGAATCAAGTGGTGCTCTGAGTTTGAGAAAAACAATGTTAACATGAGATCTTCAATCTCAGGGCAGCTGATGCTCAGGTGACAGAAGTACAATAGTAAACCATCTTTACATTCAAGAGCCGAGCACTGACGTAAACCTTTAATTGAAACATTTGTTTGTTCTCGTGGTCAAGTCACTACAAAAATGAAAGTAAAATTATAATACAAGAGTATGTTTTAATGTCAGATCAGTCCTGGTCTTTTAGCTTTGCTTTGTTTGTGCTGTAACCAGTTATGAAAGAGGTTGCTGTTTTGTCTGTATGTCAACCTGTGTATGAACATATCACATTACATAGTTGTAATACATGAGGTTATCTGGCCAGTTGTAATAGAATAACTAATAGTAGTATAGTTTATTGTGTGCTGGGGGCTTTTTATGTTACACTTAAGAACTAATTGTCATTTAGATACTTGCTTCACTTTCCTGCAAGAAGCACAGGTTTGATTGTGAAGGGGATGTTTACATATTTGTGTGCCCATGAAGCATAAGACACACATATTTACATTGCGTATCAACACCACAGGTATTGCCAACTCTTAACTTTCCTTTTTAGATACAAGAAGTGATTTTTAATTGCATAAATATTAACATGAGAAGCGTGTCAGTTCAATGCCTCAGATGTTAAACATTTGACGTATCCAAAGGAGCTCAGCTTGGAAGTGTAAAATGGAATTCAGGTCAAACATCTTTAAATTGCTCCTGTACTTTTACAGGTGTGACATTCAAATAACTGATGCGTCAAAAAGCAAATATGCTGTCACTCCTGTTGCCAAAGCTTGATGTTGAGCAACTCTCTGGATCGACCTCAGTCTGTTCACTAAAGTTTGGAAGAGTCCTGCACATTGGCAGAAAAGAAAACTTTGAGTTCTTTTGCAAACAAGCTCTGGCTGTGAAATAGTTCATGTGCTCAGGTGTCTGTCTTTGTGTTTGCGCGTGCGTGTGTGTGTGTGCATGCTCACTTGCCAGGTATGCAGTAATCTCTGGCCATCTTGTGCCAAGTTTCTGTTTACCTCAGTCATCGTCTCAACCGCTTTATTGAGCTTGTTTATCTCCTCCTCCCTCTTTTCTTTTCTTTCTCTCCCTCTCTTCTTTTCGAGTATTGAAACCCTGGTAACAGACGAATGAAAATAACAGCTGAACCTGATCCGTGTTATGTTTTCGTCATGTGTTGGGTTACGCTTTAGTGCCGAAGACAATGACACCATTTTTCTTTGAGTTCATGTGCAGTATATGACAGTAAGTAATAGAATAAGCAGACATACAGCAGTGTGTGAAAAGAGTGACACAGAGAGTAAAGTGTCTGTGCAGATACATCTTGATGCACAAAGACACTTGTTTTGCACTCTTTCAAAATAGGGCCATTGTGTGCGTGTGTGTGTGTGTGTGTGTGTGTTAATATGTGTGTGTTGACTCTAAACCCTCCACCCCACTCCTTTTTTCTCCATCATCCATCTGCCAACACTGAAAGTCCTCCTTTGACAGAGAAAACCCACTCAGCCAGTTGAGGTTTTCAGCTTCCACAGCTGCAGCGTGTCTGTATGGCTGAGGTTGTCACAAACTGTATTGGTTTACCGCCCTCTAGAGTGGGCTGTGCTTGCACTGTATGCATACTGTACATTCTGCAGCCTGTGGAAGGTTCTTGATGTTTCACGACTATTTCCCAACAGGCAATTCAAACAGTGTACAGAGTCAACAGCTCAAGTCATCCACTGATAGCACTGAGCTGCTTTCAATGCTTAACTAAGGTGGGGTAGATAAAAACCGTCACCCTTGAGCAGCTCATAAACTGACATCTTGTCAACTGAATGGCTTTTAATGAGCAAGACTTAGTCATAGCAACTTAATGTGATATTCCTGACATAGAGCAATATATAGATATGGCCCGTGCTACAGCAAACATGGCAGTGAATGTCAAAGAAAGCATGTGTCATTGAGGGGATACTCCAGTGATTTCACTTGCATGATGTTGATGGATTTAAAAGAAAAATTATGATCAACACCGATACATCAGAGACTGAGATATGCATACCGACGGTATCAGTTCCTTTAAGCTCTGAAGGTGCTGGAAGGATTTTGTTACCCTCAAACAGATGCACGCTAACTGCTTCCCTCTGTTTCCAGTCTTTGTGCTAAGCTAAGCTAACAGCCTTCAGCTTTAGCTTTATGTACCACTGACCAATATCTCCTCATCTGGCTGTCAACAAGAAAGGGAAGTTTCCACGAAAACTATGTAATATGTCAAAATAACAAATGTAGTATATTGATCTGGTGTGATACGTGATTAGCAATCGGCAGCCATCATGAAATAATGTACCAAAACTCCCAAGTCAGAACAAATGGAGATTTTAAATACTCATGCCTTGTAAACTTTATGTCCTCAGTTTTCAAACACATGGTTAAAACTATTTAATCTCCTCACCCTGATGACACTATTATGTGTCCAGGTGTTAAGATATTTAAACATATCCACCTATTATGAAATCTGGCTCTGTGCCCATCTGTCTCCACTGTGAATTGTATTTGTGTTGCTCAACAAATTGAAAAATCACATTTATCTTAAATCAAAAGCAATGTGTTCCCAGAAACAATGCCCTGATTATTCTTGATAATCCACAGATGTTCCTGTTATGAGTGAGACATTATTTCTGGAAATAAAGCCTTGAGTAGCGTAAACAAAATTCCATTCACCTCTGTTGTATTGCAGTGGCGGCAGGACTTTCCAAATGACATATTTATAGATATCTTAAAATAAAACCAAAACTATGTGCATGGCCGGACACCATGCAGGTAGGAGATGTATGTGTTTTTATGATTTAAGTTAACTGACCCTTTAATACCGTTTAGTACAGAGTTCTTGAACCCAATGTTCTCAGAAACACAATAAAGAGTCTTATCAAGAACTTTATGGACATAGGACGTTGTCTCTCTCTCTCTCTCTCTCTCTCACACACACACACACACACACACACACACACACACACACACACACTTTAACCTTCCCTCTTGTGCCTGTGAGGTTAATAATCATTAGCCTTTTTATGCCCTTGTTGATCCTGTTGTTCTACTGGGCTCTATTTTGACTCCGATGTCAGTAGATGGAATGTGTTTATGTGTCAAGCATACCTCATGTGTGCATGTGACCTGCTGTGTGTGAGTGTGGTTTTACATAGATTGTAGAACTACTATAACAACAACAAGTGTATTGTGGAGATGTTTTTTACTCCACATAATAGTAAATAAATAATCAGAGTTGACTTGGTTTATGATTATAGATAAACTGAGGTTAAAAGTTTAGTTCACCCAAATGACAAATAACATTTTAACTATTACCTCTGGCAGTAGACGTGCAAAAAGTATTGGAAATTCAGAAAAATGTCTTAACAGAAACAGAAACAGTGTCCTAATAACTAAAGACAAAATAGTCCTTGAATGAAAACGGTTTTCTCTGATTATCCAGAATAAATGTGACACTATTCTCGGAGAGATATGTTGTGTTGATTGTTTTAATCCAATTTTGCAGTGGTATGAACACTTCAAAGGAAATTAAATTTCTCTCCGCTGTAGTGGCATGAATCTCAGAGGCAGATATCACAAACTCTTGACAAATAAAACCCCAAATTATCGACACGGCTGTGTACTGCTTGAAGGAAGTGAGAAAATGTTAAGGGCAAAGTTTGCAGAGAATGAGTCATGTCTTTTTTAGTGCAGATTTGGACTAGTACTTGGAAAGTATGTGGATGTTCATACAAAAAGGTTATCCTATGTGCTGCTCAACCTCCACTTTTCTATTAAGACTCACCACCAAGATTTTGGAGCCTCATTGCAGGGATTTGCTCCCATTCAGCTACAAGAGTGTTTGTGAGGTCAGTGATTCTTCCCAAAGTTGGATGGGTTTGAGTTCAGGGCTCTGTGCTCTCTGTCAAGCTCTTCCGCACTAAATAGGAAAACCATGTCTTTGTGGATGCTGAGAGACCTCTGCCTCAAAGTCGGAAGCTCACAATTATTTAAAGTATTATTAAAAACAACCCAAGATCAAAAGTATGTAGACATATTGTGTATATATGACAACATGTAAGAGTGTGTTGGTATTTTCGAACAAAGTAATGACACTGAGATCAACAGTGATGTTTTAATTTTCTGTCCTCTCTGTCCTTCCCTTTCTTCCATTTTCTCTCTGCTGTTTCTCTCCTGTCTGACATTTGAATAGCAAAGCAGCCTTCAAGTGACACTGAATGGCTGAACTCCCACAGACCATAAACAAGGCCTTGTATGTTTGTCTCAGAGAAGGACATGCCCTGTACACAATCCTCAGCTTGTTTCACAATGTTACAGTACATTCATTGATATTGTGTGAGCAAAACACAGTGGCTTGTAGTAAGCGGCATAAAACATTCTTTATAAGGGCTCACGCTGTTCCCTCATAAATGATTTAATAGAATATGCATAGTTTTATTGATATTGTGATACCACAGCGTGAATATCAGTGAAATGTTTTTCATTTTTAACTTCTGTGGTACTACACCCTGTTCTTCACACTGAGCATGTATGCCTATACTAATATACTACTGATAACTGACTTATGATACTTAAAACTGTAGAATGACACGACTTAAGACATAAAGCTGGTTCTCTATTTTTCTTTTTGACAACAAATCCCAAAACCAACAATACATTTGTCTGTCTCTCATTACTTTCCAATTTCCCCAACTATCTGTAGTATTCAGCCCCAAGGCCGCAGGTTTGTTCTGAGGATGTATATGGGTCACAAAGAGAGCCAAAGTCATAATGTCACGTCTGGGCTATAGCCTCTAGCTTCTGTAACTCAGTGCATTCAGCATTTCTTTCATCATTTTCATCTTTCTGACAAAATCAAGCATGTTACTGGGGTTTACTTTCCATATACTATAACACAATATACCAAACAGTTGCTATAAGCAACATTCATGACTGATGAACAAAGTTACACAACATTTACTTTGTGAGCACAGAAAAAAAAACACAGCTCCCATGAAAAATGACCAGCAGAGCAGGGTGTCAAAACTGGTTTGGAGCAAGTTTTGTCCATATTCATCCACTTTCTCTGCCACCCTATAACTTCTACAGTGTTCAGTCTTCTCTGTTCAGCTGTTATCATACACATGTCTGAACTAGCCGCGACCCCTCGACTTGTCAAGTTGTGATGTTTAGCCCACTAATGTCTAAAACACAGAAATACTGAAAGAAATTCAAAAAACTATTGTCTTTATCGAAACATATGAAGCAAACCACACAACATACTGTTGAGAAACGCTCTTGTCCAAGTCTGTATTTTTAGTTATTTCATCGCTACAAATGAGCTTTTGAGGGAGATACTTTTGGAACAGATCAGTTCTGATATCCAATATATTTTCATTTAAAAAGGCGCTGGGCACTAGTAGTTTTTATCAAACATTACTCAAACAGTAAATAGTTTATTTGTGGGGGACTATTTTCAACTGTGGAATAAGTAGTTAGTATACAGCAGCAGGACTGTGTATGTGGGATCAATAAAAGAAAACTACAGTACTCATGTTTGTAGAAATGAAGGAATGTGTCACAGAGTTTGTGACAGTGTGACTTACTGATGTGTGCTTAATAATTTTTGGACAACAGTAGAGGAATAAGCTATATCAGGCTTTGGATACTATAACAACACCTGTAAAAAGAATCAAGTTGGTTTGGGGCTTTTGATGGGATTTGTTGACAAAACAAAAAAAACAGTAAACAACACTAGACTTATCCTGAAAATCTGTGTACTTAATCTTAACACATTGCCATTAAATCCCCTCATTAACAAGAGTTCATTCTTTACTTTTCCAGTGGCCGTTTGTTACGGCACACAGAACGCTCTGAGCACAAGGGGAAATTCAGACATCCAGTACAACATGATGAAGGACAAGTACACCGGCTGTGAGATTGTGATGGGAAACCTTGAGATTACCATGATGGATCACACCAGAGACTTCTCCTTCCTGCAGGTGAGGTTTTGAACACATGGAGGATAACAAGACTGTGGATGGGACAGTACTCCTTACACAGAACTACAGTATACGTACTGTGTGTGTCACTGAGAAGAACTGCGTGGTAACCAGTCCAGGCAAGGACATAGATCAACCTAATGCCAGAAACAATGTTTGGCAGTGTCTATAGTGGATGATGTGTCTGTCTCAAATGCACGATGACAATGTCCTTTTCTCAAATAAGTCACTGCACTACAGACAAGGTGACTAACAGCACACGAAAAACATACCTGTGCTGCCAGGTTGTGTCTCTGATAACAATCACTATGACTAACAAAGAAGGTATGTTTATTTCCCCTAATTTGTCTTTCTTATAATTTTTAACTCCGCAGTCTATCAGGGAGGTGACAGGCTACATCCTGTTCGCCCTCAACAAGTTCAGCCGCCTTCCTCTGGACCAACTGCGCGTCATCAGAGGCACCACACTGTACGAGAACCAGTACGCTTTAGCCGTGATGATCAACTACCAGAAGGACGGGCAGCATGGCCTGCAAGAGCTGGGCCTGACACACCTTACAGGTACACAGGCAGACTTTCAGTTAGTGTGTTTAAGTGTGGGAGGCTGGAGTGCAGCAATAAGAGCTTGCACTGGATGTGACGCTGAGCTACTGTTGGAGCTCCCACGCCCACACAGTGCTGCCACAACTTCAGAGTACCAGTCGTCGGACAGCAGCGGTGTGTGTAGTCGCTGGGATGTGAAGTCCCTGGAATGTCTCATGCCCTCAACCGCTCAACCGCCAGTGTAACATGAGCTATAGCACATTATACTGAGTTTGTATGTGCTGTAGTAAACAGCAAATGGCAGAGTTTGATAGGATGAGTCATGGGCCCGTTTGGGCTTGTTTTGCTAATCGTCTTCCCCCATTTAAATGTTTGTGTGCCGCCCACAGAGATACTGGAGGGAGGAGTCCAGATCATCCAGAATAAGTACCTGAGCTACGCTCCCCAGGTGAACTGGCTGGACATAGTGAAGGATGGAACAGCTCATATTATGATTGAGGACAATGGCCCTGAAAGTGAGTGGAAAGGATTATGATTACACACGAGCATCAGTTACCTTCTATTTTAATGTCTGCTTTAAGGAGTAAAACTGCATCTACTGATAATAAGTATTATGATTATATCTTAGAGCCTTGTAATGAAGCATGTGACGCTCAGTGTTGGGGTCCGGGAAAGGACACATGCCAAATCTGTGAGTAACACTATCAGCATTCCTTTCTTTTCCCATGTATCAACTCAGTGCTGTGAAGCGGTGGTTCCCATGTGGATGTTGTTGCCCTAGGGTGCCTTAAAGATTAGCCATGGTTGCAGCAACATTTGTTGATTTCCAAAAATGTTTCACCACATTAAAAACTATGAGGCAACATTTACGTTTTCAAACATCAAAACAGAAGAAAAAAACGCACTGAAATCACCACATTAAAAGCCCAAATTAATCAGTTAATATGATAACTGATTATTTTGTGCTTTTAATGTGGTGATTTCAGTGCGTTTTTTTTCTTCTGTTTTGATGTCCCTGTCAGAGTCAGCAATAGTAGTTTTGTCTCTGTGAACAGAGCTTAAAAAATGCTGATCTCAACCCTCAACACAAAACAAAAAATATATATTTTACTAATTATCATACTTTTTTTTTTATTTGTCAAAAGTTCAGTATTTCTCTACAAATCCACACACAACAAAGCTGTAGCTATCTGTTTTTTTCTGAGGCCTGTATTATTTAACTTAATATTGATGTTAAAATGACACAAATACAAATAAGTAGGATTTAATTGACATATATACTCTGAACTCTCTTTCAGTGACAAAGACTGTGTGCGCCCCGCAGTGTAACGGCCGATGCTTTGGTAGAAGCCCAAGCGAGTGTTGCCACATTGAGTGCGCTGGAGGCTGCACTGGACCCCTGGACACAGACTGCTTTGTGAGTCTGCATCTTAAATACGCCTTTTTCACAGGAGGCATGTCACAAAAGCACAGGTGTAAATAATAAAATTACTGATGGCTGGATTTCGTTTACCTGCTTTAGTTTTTCTTATTGTGCCTCCTGGCTCACTGTCATTGGTTACTGGGGCCCTTGACCAGGGGCATCATTAATGTTATTAGTAGCACCTGTGTCAAAATGTCTCCTGTGAAAAAAATGCCTTCATAGACGCAAACACAAACATATCTACAAGCTTTGTTGCTGAATTTGTGTTTGATGTTTTACAGGCTTGTAGAAACTTCAACAACTCGGGCTCCTGTGTGCCTCTGTGTCCCCAGACCCTCATCCACAACAAGCACACATTAGAACTGGAGCCCAACCCCAATGCCAAGTACCAGTATGGCTCCATCTGTGTGGCCCAGTGCCCCTGTGAGTCGCCACACACACTGCCTTATACCCACATGTTGACACAGACTCACAGATGCTGTTCTCAATGCAGTTTTTATGTTCCTCCAAAAAGCTAAAGCTCCATACACTACACCGCTGCTACTTGTATCTTAAGTTGCTTGTGTATATTTATAGTTTAGTGTTGTCCAAGACACTCATTCCAGACACTTTCTTTCAGCCAATTTTCTGGTGGATGGCAGCTCATGTGTCAGCACTTGCCCGTCTGATAAAATGGAGGTGGAGAAAAATGGATTGAAACAATGTGAACCGTGTGGAGGCCTCTGTCCAAAAGGTATTCAACCAAACTAAACATCACAATCCATATACTATAACACAATATAGCAAACAGTTGCTATAAGCAACATTCATGACTGATGAACAAAGTTACACAACATTTACTTTGTGAGCACAGAAAAAAAACCACAGCTCCCATGAAAAATGACCAGCAGAGCAGGGTGTCAAAACTGGTTTGGAGCAAGTTTTGTCCATATTCATCCACTTTCTCTGACACCCTATAACTTCTACAGTGTTCAGTCTTCTCTGTTCAGCTGTTATCATACACATGTCTGAACTAGCCGCGACCCCTCGACTTGTCAAGTTGTGATGTTTAGCCCGCTAATGTCTAAAACACAGAAATACTGAAAGAAATTCAAAAAACTATTGTCTTTATCGAAACATATGAAGCGAACCACACAACATACTGTTGAGAAACGCTCTTGTCCAAGTCTGTATTTTTAGTTATTTCATCACTACAAATGGGCTTTTGAGGGAGATACTTTTGGAACAGATCAGTTCTGATATCCAATATATTTTCATTTAAAAAAGGCGCTGGGCACTAGTGGTTTTTATCAAACATTACTCAAACAGTAAATAGTTTATTTGTGGGGGATTATTTTCAACTGTGGAATAAGTAGTTAGTATACAGCAGCAGGACTGTGTATGTGGGATCAATAAAAGAAAACTACAGTACCCATGTTTGTAGAAATAAAGGAATGTGTCAAAGAGTTTGTGACAGTGTGACTTACTGATGTGTGCTTAATAATTCTTGGACAACAGCAGAGGAATAAGCTATATCAGGCTTTGGATACTATAACAACACCTGTAAAAAGAATCAAGTTGGTTTGGGGCTTTTCATGGGATTTGTTGACAAAAAAATAAAAAAACAGTAAACAACACTAGACTTATCCTGAAAATCTGTGTACTTAATCTTAACACATTGCCATTAAATCCCCTTATTAACAAGAGTTCATTCTTTACTTTTCCAGTGGCCGTTTGTTACGGCACACAGAACGCCCTGAGCACGACGGGAAATTCAGATATCCAGTACAACCTGATGAAGGACATGTACACCGGCTGTGAGATTGTGATGGGAAACCTTGAGATTACCATGATGGATCACACCAGAGACTTCTCCTTCCTGCAGGTGAGGTTTTGAACACATGGAGGATAACAAGACTGTGGATGGGACAGTACTCCTTACACAGAACTACAGTATACGTACTGTGTGTGTCACTGAGAAGAACTGCGTGGTAACCAGTCCAGGCAAGGACATAGATCAACCTAATGCCAGAAACAATGTTTGGCAGTGTCTATAGTGGATGATGTGTCCGTCTCAAATGCACGATTACAATGTCCTTTCTCAAATAAGTCACTGCACTACAGACACGGTGACTAACAGCACACGAAAAACACACCTGTGCTGCCAGGTTGTGTCTCTGATAACAATCACTATGACTAACAAAGAAGGTATGTTTATTTCCCCTAATTTGTCTTTCTTATAATTTTTAACTCCGCAGTCTATCAGGGAGGTGACAGGCTACATCCTGTTCGCCCTCAACAGGTTCAGCCGCCTTCCTCTGGACCAACTACGCGTCATCAGAGGCACCACACTGTACGAGAACCAGTATGCTTTGGCCGTGATGATCAACTACCTGAAGGACGGGCAGCATGGCCTGCAAGAGCTGGGCCTGACACACCTTACAGGTACACAGGCAGACTCTCAGTTAGTGTGTTTAAGTGTGGGAGGCTGGAGTGCAGCAATAAGAGCTTGCACTGGATGTGACGCTGAGCTACTGTTGGAGCTCCCATGCCCACACAGTGCTGCCACAACTTCAGAGTACCAGTCGTCGGACAGCAGCGGTGTGTGTAGTCGCTGGGATGTGAAGTCCCTGGAATGTCTCATGCCCTCAACCGCTCAACCGCCAGTGTAACATGAGCTATAGCACATTATACTGAGTTTGTATGTGCTGTAGTAAACAGCAAATGGCAGAGTTTGATAGGATGAGTCATGGGCCCGTTTGGGCTTGTTTTGCTAATCGTCTTCCCCCATTTAAATGTTTGTGTGCCGCCCACAGAGATACTGGAGGGAGGAGTCCAGATCATCCAGAATAAGTACCTGAGCTACGCTCCCCAGGTGAACTGGCTGGACATAGTGAAGGATGGAACAGCTCATATTATGATTGAGGACAATGGCCCTGAAAGTGAGTGGAAAGGATTATAATTACACACATGAGCATCAGTTACCTTCTATTTTAATGTCTGCTTTAAGGAGTAAAACTGCATCTACTGATAATAAGTATTATGATTATATCTTAGAGCCTTGTAACGAAGCATGTGACGCTCAGTGTTGGGGTCCGGGAAATGACACATGCCAAATCTGTGAGTAACACTATCAGCATTCCTTTCTTTTCCCATGTATCAACTCAGTGCTGTGAAGCGGTGGTTCCCATGTGGATGTTGTTGCCCTAGGGTGCCTTAAAGATTAGCCATGGTTGCAGCAACATTTGTTGATTTCCAAAAATGTTTCACCACATTAAAAACTATGAGGCAACATTTACGTTTTCAAACATCAAAACAGAAGAAAAAAACGCACTGAAATCACCACATTAAAAGCCCAAATTAATCAGTTAATATGATAACTGATTATTTTGTGCTTTTAATGTGGTGATTTCAGTGCGTTTTTTTTCTTCTGTTTTGATGTCCCTGTCAGAGTCAGCAATAGTAGTTTTGTCTCTGTGAACAGAGCTTAAAAAATGCTGATCTCAACCCTCACCACAAAACAAAAAATATATATTTTACTAATTATCATACTTGTTTTTTGATTTGTCAAAAGTTCAGTATTTCTCTACAAATCCACACACAACAAAGCTGTAGCTATCTGTTTTTTTCTGAGGCCTGTATTATTTCACTTAATATTAATGTTAAAATGACACAAATACAAATAAGTAGGATTTAATTGACATATATACTCTGAACTCTCTTTCAGTGACAAAGACTGTGTGCGCCCCGCAGTGTAACGGCCGATGCTTTGGTAGAAGCCCAAGCGAGTGTTGCCACATTGAGTGCGCTGGAGGCTGCACTGGACCCCTGGACACAGACTGCTTTGTGAGTCTGCATCTTAAATACGCCTTTTTCACAGGAGGCATGTCACAAAAGCACAGGTGTAAATAATAAAATTACTGATGGCTGGATTTCGTTTACCTGCTTTAGTTTTTCTTATTGTGCCTCCTGGCTCACTGTCATTGGTTACTGGGGCACTTGACCAGGGGCATCATTAATGTTATTAGTAGCACCTGTGTCAAAATGTCTCCTGTGAAAAAAATGCCTTCATAGACACAAACACAAACATATCTACAAGCTTTGTTGCTGAATTTGTGTTTGATGTTTTACAGGCTTGTAGAAACTTCAACAACTCGGGCTCCTGTGTGCCTCTGTGTCCCCAGACCCTCATCTACAACAAGCACACATTCAAACTGGAGCCCAACCCCAATGCCAAGTACCAGTATGGCTCCATCTGTGTGGCCCAGTGTCCCAGTGAGTCCCCACACACGCTGCCTTATACCCACATGTTGACACAGACTCACAGATGCTGTTCTCAATGCAGTTTTTATGTTCCTCCAAAAAGCTAAAGCTCCATACACTACACCGCTGCTACTTGTATCTTAAGTTGCTCGTGTATATTTTTAGTTTACTGTTGTCCAAGACACTCATTCCAGACACTGTCTTTCAGCCAATTTTCTGGTGGATGGCAGCTCATGTGTCAGCACTTGCCCGTCTGATAAAATGGAGGTGGAGAAAAATGGATTGAAACAATGTGAACCGTGTGGAGGCCTCTGTCCAAAAGGTATTCAACCAAACTAAACATCACAATGTCAAGACAGTTGTTTTAATGCAACTGAGATACAAACTAAGAGAACCTGGTTTAATAAGTATCCTTTACATTTAAAAAATTGTAAATAGTAGTAAAAGTAAAAGTTCAGCATTCAAAATGTTATATTATATTATTTCTAATGCATTAATGTGTAAATATACAAATAATGTGGTGTTGAGTTTTTTAATCTGCAAACATGATCAGATTTTATTTGTTGCTCACAATCTGAATCTGCAAAGTATTTATTGCTGTCAAATAAATGTATTGGAGTAAAAAGTATTAATATTAATATTATTCACTTGATGAAACATAAAAACTACAATATTTGAGCAAATGTCCTCAGTTACTTTCCACCTCTGCTGGTTTGTTCTGACTAATTTCATAAGCTCTTCTCATATTCTTTGTCTTCCTTACAGCTTGCCTCGGCACAGGGAGTCCAACCAGACAGACTGTCGATGCTTTTAACATCGACAGTTTCATAAACTGCACTAAGATCCAGGGCAGTCTGCACTTCCTGGTGACTGGGATCAATGGGTAAACTTATAATAGTCGCCTTTATGAGAGTTTTTACTGTCTTTTGTAAGTTTAGTGTTATTACCTGTGCTTTATGGATTCTTTTAAGCAACAGGCCTTTATTATTTCTTGTTCTTTCTCTGTTCAGTGATGATTACAACAATGTGCCACCCCTCAATCCAGAGAAACTGAAAATCTTCAACACTGTGAAGGAGATTACAGGGTGTGTGTGTGTGTGTGTGTGTGTGTGTGTGTGTGTGTGTGTGTGTGTGTGTGTGTGTTTGTTTGTTATTAATGTTGCATCATAATGTTACATTTGCAGTCTGTTTAAAACTGAAACACAATGTCTCCAATTTCAGACATCCTCAGTATCCAGTCATGGCCTAAAAACATGTCTGACCTGTCCGTCTTCTCCAACCTCCAAACAATTCAGGGCAGGACACTTTACAAGTGAGCAGTTGTTTTTTTTCCACTCCCTTGTTCTAACATTGTTGTTGTTTCTCTTGTTGACTAAGGTCATGTCACTATCATTTTGTTGTATCTTTCACTGCACTGCAGATTAACCTTGATGTGAATCTGATTGTTCTTTTGTATCTTGTATCTCTTTATTCCCTTGTTATATGTCATTTTACCCCATTTAGAGGAGTGAGCACAAGAAGGTACAGTAAATATTTCACATGCCCACCTGTATCCGCCTCTTAAAGTACAACATCTTTAATATAAATGTAATACATTATTCTTGCAGGGCATAGTCAGGACTGGGATTGTGTGATTGAGTTGGTGGTGGACGTAACTCTTTGAGTTTACATGGTCTTCTTGCATGCTCTTTCTGGTGAAAATGTATATTTAGCTGCAAAATTTTGGACTCTGAGAGTTGGCTTGTATTTTATGGAAGCAAATAAAGGTCCACATGATTTCAATCATATACACAACTTAATTCCTAATTGTGAAATTGAATCACTACTGACTACTAGTAGTAGTCTTAAAATTTAAATACCACAGCATTTATGCTGAAGTACTGCAGTAGTTCAAATTAAAAACTGTTTGTATTCCTCTTTGAAATTTCCAGAAGGTAAATTACAAGTTCTGCAATTTCAAAGATATGAAGAAAATACAAGTGTCCACTAAATTCAAGCCAAGTCAAAAACTCTAATTTCTCAAACTGGATTGGTGAAATTCAGACAACCCAAAATTCAAAATGACAAATTCAAACTTTAACACTTAATATTAAGAAACCACGCCTCAGTAAAGTCAGACCTTTGTCTTATCAGTTTATTTTCTGTCATTGATGTGATCCAAAAGAAGTTTAGATGAACAACTGGAAATTTGACACTTTAATCTTTAGATCTGAAAAATTCATGTCTGAAAAACTGAAATTACTCTCTGAGAAACCTGTCTTTGCTTCCATAGTATTTTAAACACAATCACTATATTGGCAAGTATTCATTTCTCATATTAACGTTCACTTCTTGCTATTTCAGGGGCTACTCTCTCCTGGTGATGAGGATCTCCTCTTTGACCTCCCTGCGGTTACGCTCGCTGCAAAAAATAAACGACGGTGGCATCTACATCACGGGTAACAAGAAGCTCTGCTACCATGACACTGTCAACTGGACGCGTATCTTGAGCAGCAGCTCCCGCCAGCAGCGACGCGACATTAAGGACAACAGACCAAGAAATAAGTGTGGTGAGTGAACAGGGGATCATTTATCACATCATTTGTCAGTGCTGATGATGATTTTTATAGTAATTTTTGTTCTGTTCTGTAGTTAATGACGGCCATGTGTGTGACCCCCTGTGCTCTTCTGATGGCTGCTGGGGTGCGGGGCCAAACCAGTGTGTGTCTTGTAAGAAATACAGCAGAGGAGGAACTTGCGTGCCAGACTGCATGTTCTTAACCGGGTCAGTGTTTACAAAACCACTAATAAAATGATTAATAATAATCACAGTGTTTGCCTTATTGTGAGTAATGTTTGCTGTGGTATAGCTGCCCCAACTGTTTCAATCTTATCTGCAGTCTGTTGAAAGATTTTATTTCCCTGAATGCAGGGTGAGGCGGGAGTTTGCTTCTCCTTCAGGGGAGTGTATGCCATGCCACCCTGAGTGTAAGGTCCAGGCGGGGAAGGAGACTTGCACAGGCCCAGTATGATTCTCTCTAGTCTCTGTATTCTCTTTCGGTGTGCTGCTGCCACCTAATGGTGTTACAGTGGACATACTCCATACTGCCACTGACTTTGAGCCATTTCTTTCTCTTTGCAAACGTTTGCCTCCTTTTGTCTGTCAACTAAACGGTCCCCCCTTCTGTTCAGGGAGCAGATCAGTGTGTAGCATGCGCCAGCCTGCAGGATGGCCCACACTGTGTGTCTTCATGTCCTGAGGGTGTGATGGGAGGGGAGGAGGTCATCTTTAAATACCCCAACAAACAAGGCCGCTGTGAACCGTGCCACGTCAACTGTACCCAAGGGTAAGATATGAGTTGAGCTCTCTCTGTGTGTATTCATACGTATGTTTGTGTTTGCGTATTTCAAATGTAACCCTTTTCTGTGTTTAGGTGCTTCGGGCCAGGAATTGGAGACTGTGTGGGGTCATCCCGGTACATTTCTGGGTAAGTTGCTCCTCTCAATCTGTCATGTGTAAAATTGTTTAGACATTTTGATTCAGTGTTGACAATGTGACATCTCTTCTTCCTTTTCATTAGACAAGCGACCACAGCCATCGTACTGGGAGTGATTGCCGTTCTCTTCGTTTCATTCTCTGTTTTTGTGCTGACTGTTCTGTACCGCCGAGGTCTTGCCATTCGCCGAAAGCGAGCTATGAGGAGATACATGGAGAGCGGAGAGGTCAGTTGGAGTCTGATGTTTTCATGGTGTTGTTATGTTTGAGTTAAGTTTATTTAATATATTCTTTGTGTGCCAACAGAGCTTTGAGCCTCTGGATCCTGGAGAGAAAGGGGCTAAAGTCCATGCTAGGATCCTGAAGCCCACAGAGCTGCGTAAGATCAAGCTGCTGGGTAACGGAGTGTTTGGATCAGTCTATAAGGTAGTGGTGATTGTCTATACAGTCCCCCTCTTGCACATTTATGATTCATTTACCAAATTACGAATCTGTCTCTATATCTTATCTCACAGGGCATTTGGATTCCTGAGGGCGATACAGTGAAGCTTCCAGTGGCCATAAAGGTGATTCAAGATCGCTCTGGACGGCAGACCTTCAATGAAATGACAGATGTAAGAAAACATGACTTAGAAGAAAGCATCTTTTGTGTATCAAATACCTCCTGATGTTAGGCTCTGAAAAGCTTGTAGCTTGCTTCTTTGCAGAGTCACTGTGGATTCACAGAGGTTGCAATGGATTAACTTGGCAACCAAAAGTAACAGGCCAAAACGTATCTAAAGAAATGTCTCAAATCACTCCTACAGCACCTCTCTGCTGTTGATCTGTATGTGAACTAGGTTTATTTTTCTCCACAGCATAAATAATTGTCACATCCTCATACTTCCAAACCTCCTGTAAAAGTGGCATACTTACAAATCAATTGACCATGTGAGGATTATTTATTTGTAATATATTGAACATACACAGAAGTCTATTATGTTGCAGTTTTTATGTTCAATGTCACCTTCGCTGTGCGTTGTCATTGGTTTCCTGTGAATCCATGCTGGCAACAGCTGCATTCCTCCATAAAGGAGCAATCCTCAAGCTGTCAAGCCTTCAAGAAGTGAATATTTGATACTTAAAGGATATATTTTCAATGGCGTATTCCTGTAAAACCTGAATTAGAATTTTTTGAAAAACCCTTAATGATTGAACCTAAATGTTCACTGCAGCACATGGTGACGATGGGAAGCTTGGACCACATGAATGTTGTCAGGACCCTGGGTATCTGTCCTGGTGACAGCCTGCAGCTCGTCACTCAGCTCAACAGTCAGGGATCTCTGCTGGAGCACGTCAGGAACTGCAAGAACAAACTCAGCCCGCAGAGGTTGCTCAACTGGTGTGTTCAAATTGCAAAGGTAAAGGACCAACCCTTGTTTTGCTGGGGTTTTTTTATATGATCGCACATGGTTTGGTCTATTCCACTGATAACCCAAGCACTTAAAAGCATTGTTGTCCTTTCTCTTTAGGGTATGTATTACCTGGAGGAGAACAGGGTGGTCCACAGGAACCTGGCTGCCAGAAATGTGCTCCTGAAGAATAACTACACCGCCCAAATCTCTGACTACGGCATCGCAGACCTGCTTTACCCTGATGACAAGAAGTACTTTTACAATGAGCTCAAGGTCCGTAGCCTGGCAGAAAAGATATGATAGACTCAGTAAAATGATCAAAGTTCATTAAGAAAGCCTTCCACACTGTGAGACATTGTTCCCATTTTCTCACATTTATTGACCACTCAAGTAATCAACAGAGCCATTTTCTGTTTACATCTTTAGGCACCAATCAAATGGATGGCTTTAGAGAGCATCTTGTTTCGCAGATACACACATCAGAGCGATGTCTGGAGTTATGGTGAGTTTTAAACCACCTTACTGGATGTGTGGATGTTTCAGCTGTACCAGATGTGCTGTTTTATGCCACAATTAATCTGTTCCCTTTTATTTAGGTGTGACAGTATGGGAGATGATGTCCTATGGGGTAGAGCCATATACTACAATGAGTCCACAGGAAGTTCCTGATCTACTGGAAAAGGGCGAGCGTCTGTCCCAGCCTGCTATTTGCACCATTGATGTCTACATGGTCATGGTCAAATGTGAGTGGTTGTTTTCTATCTTTTAATACATGTTTTTTAGCCACGATAGCAGCTATGCTCTAGAGAGGCAATCTTAGTTTGTCAGTCGGTCCACCCCTTTGGTCTAGAGTGAAATATCTCAACACCTATTGGACTGATTGCTGTGAAGTTTTGTGCAGACATTCGTGGTGCCCATAGCATGAGTTTTCGTCTTGCACCACCATGGGATTGACATGTTTGGGTTTTGTGTAAATATCTTAACAATCATTGAATTATCATAAAACTTGGTGCAGATATCCATTTAGCTCAGATGATAAATCCAATTTTTTCTGTGATCCCCTGACTTTATCTTACTTCACCTTCAGGTGAACTATCTTAACAACTATTGGATGAATTGTCATGAAATGTTGTGCAGGCATTCGTCACCAGGGGACTTCAGTGATTCCCTGACTTTACCTTGAGTGCCATGATGAGATTCTAATTTACGTATATAAGATGCATTGTATTGTTTTTTCCAATACTTGATGATCAAATATTTGCAAAACTAACGATACTAACACCTAAGACACCTATAAACTAAGATGATGAACATGGTTAACATACCTGCTTGTCTCAGCATGTTAACATTGTCCTTGTTAGCATCTTGCACAAAGCATCATTGTGCCAAATTACAGCCTCACAGAGCTGCTAGCATGGCTGTAGACTACATTTTAGTCAGTTTCAGATGCTCATCATTGTGCATTAACAACTCCATAGAATTGAGTGGTGAACAATGGCTCTTGTTTGTGATTTCCAGGTTGGATGATTGATGAGAATGTCCGTCCAACATTCAAAGAGCTCGCAAATGAATTTACCAGAATGGCCAGAGACCCTCCTCGCTACCTGGTGATCAAAGTAAGAAAGGCTGTTTATTAGTATACAAACCCATTTTTTTTTAATTCCATGGTGGACAGAACCCTTCTGAGTATTGTAGAGTAAAAGTGTACATGCAATACGCTAATCTCTGTCTCACGTCGGTTCACTAGGAGGACTGCAGCCAACAGGACACAGCCCCTGATGAACTTGCCCAGCGGAGTGCAGACCTGGATGAACTGGATGATCTAGACATGGAGATGGTGGACCAGGAGGGGGAGGGGGTGGTAGATGGTCTGACTCCAGCTCCCCACTATCTGTCTCAGTCCAGGAGCCTCAGCCGCCTCTCAAGGCTGGACACTCACAGAGTAAGAGACACCCCTTCCTGTCGGTTTTATGCCTGAAAAGGCCTTTTCTGTCCCCTCCTGGATCTAAATCTAATTTCTGTCTTTTCTTGTAAAGGTGGTTCTTACTACATCAAACCTGGCTGGATACCTGCCTATGACCCCAGGTGTTGACAACCCAGGACAGGTAGGTAAAACACCAGCATCATCCTACTGCACATTCATACTGTTGTCATTTTACTAATACAGGTTTGTTTGTGTTGTCTCCTGCAGGCCATGTGGCAGTCCCGCTCTCGTCTAAACTCAGCCCGCACTGTGTCTGAAAGCTCAGAGGGCTGCGGCACGACTGTTGAGCTGGAGATGAGTGAGGACTTTTCTCTGACAGGGAGCCTGAAGAGACGACGTCATCGCGAGGACAGCGCTTACTTGTCGCAGAGGGACAGCATGTCTGGCGGGCCACCAGAGACTCCATCACCAGAGATGGAGGAAGAAGACCAGAATGGATATGTGCTTCCTGGAGACAGCCCAGAAAGAGGTGATAGCGTCATTCATACTTGTTGTCTATTGAAATTATACTGTCAATTTACGTGGCCATAACAATCTTCCCTGGAAAATTGTTAACAGCCCCAGATGCCAGGTTCAGTTCTGCTGTGTCACAACCACCATTTTATAGAATGAATACAGGTTAATACTAGTTTCTTCATAGCTCCTACCTAATGATTTATTCTGAGACCACTGCTAATTTGATGTCATATATATATATATCACATTTGCAAAAGGTTATGTTGTTGTTTAAAGGAATAGTTTGACATTAAACACATGTTTGCTTTCTTGCCACGAGAGAATAAATACCACTCTCATATCTGTATGTTAAAGATACAGCTAAGTTAACAGGCTGCTGGCAGTATATTCATGTTTACCGTACAAACATGAGTGTCAGTCAAAGGACCAGTGTGTAGGATTTAGTAGCATCTAATGGTGAAGTTGCAGATTACAACCACTGAAAGGAGCTCACCTTCCAAGCGTGTAGGAGAAACTATGGTGGCTGTGAAACTTGTGAAAAAAGGTGAACGGCCCTGAGCCAGTGTTTGATTTGTCCGTGGCAAAAAGGCAAAAACAACATAAAAGACAAAAAAGATGTACAGCTGCAATGTTTTGGGATTACATCTTCATCAGGCACCGCAAACCTCAATTTGTCCATTTTTCTTTATTTTTCAGATACCCTACTCTCCACATCTCGAGCCACTGCTGGCAGGATGGGCAAGTCTCATTCATCGGGCCTGTTGGACGACCCAGATGATGAAGAATATGAGTATATGAACAAGCAAGTTTCGCCGAGGCACAACAGCCACTGGCTGAAACCGAACAAGAAGCGCACCTCCTCCGTATCGTCACAAGTGACGGCATGCTCAAGTGTTTCCACGCCATCCGTGGAGGTCAGGGGAGGTCACACGAGGAGCGATCACAACTCCGACTCCGAGCAGCAAGGATCTAATGAAGTCGAGTATGAATACATGGACATCAGGGGTAGTGAAAAAGATGAAAGCCCTCCAGCGCATGACCCTCCTCCTCCTCCTTCTCCTCCTCCTCCTCTGACACCAGCAAGGATGGGCAAAGAGGCGCAGGATGAGGAGCGGGAGGAAGAGGAGGATGATGAATATGTGGAGGACAGTAACTATCATTACACAAACAGACAGCCGAAGCTGCGACAGGCTCTTCAAGACAGGAAGGAGTTGACGATACAAGGAAGGGACGAGGGGGAGGCGTATGAGTACGAGGACATGGACTGCTTTGCTACTCTGCGGCCTGATAACACAGTGGTGTACCAGAACGTGCAGAGGGAAAGGGAGGGAGCCGTAGGGGGCTCGAAGGCACGTCGGTCTGGGTTTGAACCCTATGTCAAAGTGCAAGCTGGAGTCGGAGTTGGAGAACCGGCAGCTGGTGACAGATCTTTTGACAATCCAGACTACTGGCACAGCAGGATGTTCCTGAAGCCCAACGCAGTGCCTACATGAAGAACATTTTAAATCTCATCCCTCTGAGACGTATTCATGAAGGACCCGAAATCAAAAGCCATATCAATAATGTAGCCTATGACACAATTTCAAAACTCTCTCACAGCTTTGCTGTCTGTTACAGGCTGACATGTCTTGTATTTAGGCCTGTGATTCAGGGCATTTTCCGAAAACACTAATAGCAATCAACAGATTACAAGCTATATATTTTTTCTGTTTACATTTTGAAATGAACAAAGCTTGTTTCAAAGAACAACAAAGTTTGGACTTCTGAGACCTCTTTTAATGATGATATATGAAATACATTTTCTACTCAATAAAAATATTGTGAATAGCTATTTTGAAGCACCAACATTTTTTATTTTAACAGACTGCGTTACCACGTGTGTAAAACGTTACACAGTTGGGTTTATCGAGGAACATGGAAATTAATATTGACCAAAATACATATGAACATTTAGTGGTCATAGTACAATTTCCTCTTGCGATCAATAAATCTATTTCCAGAGCTTTCAGCCACATCTCATGGCCTTCATCAGGGAATGAATTTGTTTTATGTTTGTTCAGTTTTTTTGTGACCTCAGAAAATAAAATAGGTGATTTAATTTTGTTTTCTTCTATTGTCTATTTGCTATTATTACCTTATATTCTTCCAATTATTGCGTGTATAACAAGGCCAGATCAACCACCAGGGGGACACGGGCAAAAATGAGCAGTGGGCCCTAGTAACACACTATTCCTCCCGCTCTCCATGAACTGTGTCAAATATCCATCACGTATGGCCCACACAGAGGTTTCATTATATTTTGCCTATCAATAGAAACCAGTACTTATATGCTAAAATACTGCCTGCAGTCCCTCATATTGCTCTAATTTGTAGTTGCCTAATTAATTTAAACACAAATTTAATTGGGAATGTGTACCTTTATTACATTTAATAAAGATATTATGATGCATATTCCAAAACTGATTTGCATTCACTGTGAAATTAACCAGCTGATACACTGTTGCTCACTTACACCTTTTGGCAAACTGGTTTTGGTTTTGAGGTTAGGATGTTCTCTGTATGGTAAGGGTTCATTACACTGGGAGGGTATTGGAATGATTCCTGTTTAATGTTCACACCTGACTAATGTTTTAAGACAAGCATAATAAAAAATTTTAGCAAATATTTTATATATATTAATTGAGGCTTGGGGAGTAATGGATTACATGTAATTTAGGTAACTGTAATACATTACTGTAACTGTACTGGTACATCAAGCAAAAATTATTATTATTTTTTTTAATCTTTAAAAATACAAGAGCAGGAGACACATTTTTGATATTAAAAATATTTCCATTTTCCATCTTCTTTTCTAAGGTTTATTATTCTATTATCTTATAGAATAAATTAATTCACTTCAATACTCATCGATAATTATTTTCTCTTGTTTTTATTTGCATATTTGGTGTAACATAACAGAAAGTAGTCAAGTTGCGTTACTTTAATTTTAAGAGGTAATTAGGCTCAGGCTGCATTTTTGGCGGGTTGTGGTCGCGGTGACGTCGTTATCGTCAAGGGAAGTGGGAGGGGCTTGTCGGGCAGCAGGAGGCCGGTGTCAGCAGCGACCGTCAGAGCCGAGCTGAGCCGAACTGAGCCGCGGAGGAAACTGTCGCTGTTCAGGGGCCGACGAGCGACTGAAACTTCACTGCCAAGATGTCGGACGAGGAACAAGAGCAGACCGTAGCCGAGGATCTGGTGGTCACCAAGTACAAGATGGGCGGTGACATTGCCAACCGTGAGTTAACGTTATTAGTTTTAAACGTGTAGCCGTTGGTGACCGTTGGAGATGAACGGCTGTTTTCGGCCTGTCGTGCAGTCAGCTAACGTTGGTTTCCCCTCACAGCAGCAGCAGCAGCAGCAGCGGCAGCAGCAGCGGCCATGTGGTTTACATGCGAGGCACACAACTGGATAGCTAGCTAACGTTAGCGGGCAGCTGTCTGTCAGCTGTCTGTCTGTCTGTCTGTCTGTGTGTCTGTCTGTCTGTGTAACCAACGTGGGCTGCTAACCACCGGTGGTCCGGTACAGTCAGCTGAACATTAACTTTACAGACAGATAAGCAGGCAGCCACAGATGTGAAAGCCACTTTAACATGAAGTTACACGTTCACGGTTGCCTTTCCTCTTGAGTTCACCAGGCAGAACTAGTTTGTCTTTTAACTTTTAATTAAGTTATCCGTTCAGTTGACATGTTGATATACAGGAATAACGTTAATGTGAGGCGCTTTACATATGACAGCTATCGTTATCTTCTCTGTGCATTTGCAGACCCAGTGTTTATTTAGCTGCAAATAAAGGATGACTTATTTGTTTGAAATTAGGAGTGGTAACGTTAGATATTGACAAAATCCTGTGTCACAGAATAATGTAATCTCTATGCTACAATATGTGTTGTAAAATGCACTTTTAGAAACTGTTTATAGATAAAATAATGCATAGTCATATGTGTTTTTGGCTAATCCAGCACACTAAATTCTTTATAAACCAAGTTTTCGTATTGATGCCTAAATTGTACAAACATCTACATCACCCAACCATATTTAAAATCGTAAGTTTACTTTGCACAGTATAACCTTGAGTCGGGCAATATTGACAGAATCAAACTATCACAGTACTTCAGAGTTAGTTCCCTGACGCTTAATGTTGTTAAACTAGGAGTTGGTTGTTGAGGTCTCTCTGTTAAAAAACAAATGGATGATATCTGCTCTCATATCACAGTGTCAGTACTATATCAGTGCATCTGCCTGATGGTCCTTCTTATGCTCCTCTTAATCGTTTGCTGTTTGTCTCACCCAGAGGCTCTTCATCTGGTCGTGGAAACAGCCAAGCCCGGGGTGTCAGTGCTGAGTCTCTGTGAGAAGGGGGATGCCTACATCATGGCTGAGACTGGGAAGGTCTTCAAGAAGGAAAAGGAGATGAAGAAAGGTGAGGCAAAGACGATGCTAGTGAGTCTTGAAATTCTGGTGAACTGTGGTGGACCCATCAAGAAGAGTGTAGATGCAGTCATGTTGAGAGTGTGTTTGTGTGCGAGTCCACCACACCTTGATTAGCTTTAATAACAACTAATATGGTGACAGAGTATGACAGTGTAAGTTTATTAGGTGATCCAAGAGTCACTCCCTCCATCCTTTGTATAGTGTTCTTGCTAAACCTGTGGATGATTTCCAAATGAAGACTTGGTGGTTCTCTTTTCCCTCTTCTAGGCATTGCCTTCCCCACCAGCGTCTCAGTCAATAACTGTGTTTGCCACTTCTCTCCCCTGAAGAGTGACCCTGACTACACACTTAAAGATGGGGATCTGGTCAAAATGTAGGCACCACGCTCTGCAATAATGTCACCCCCTCTTCTCCCACGTGTGTCTTGAGTCTCCCAGTGTGTTCTCCTCCCTTCTTTTCATGTGATATCTGGCTTGTATGTGAGGGTTTTCACTTTGCTGTTGACTGTCTGCTTCATCAGTGAGGTCTTGTTGTCCTGTCTGTCCTGTGTGGCAAACGACAAGTAAGGTTGGACATTTTCAGAACGGGTCGATATGTTGGATTTTTAGCTTTGATCCATCTGCTAAATCCAATTTATCTAAATATTCTAATGCAATGTTATGCTTTGAAAAATGAAGTCAACTCATCTTAGTTGTTGTGTTGCCACGTTTGTCTTCGTCCTCTGTAATGTCTTTTGTGCTGTGTGTGGATTTGCAATGTTTTAAATATGTTTGCTACGGCTCCTGGTGATGTGGTTACACACACACAAGGTTTGTATGTTTCACTCACTCTAGCCAAACCTTCTGGCTGGGCATGTCTGTTCAATTTATTATAGTCTGTAATGCTGCTCCCTTGAATGCACAATAAGTCCTTCACTGTACTTCAGCTGATGTACAGCCAAAACAAATTCACCTTGGACTATACCTTCCATTTAATGGAAATTCAATTGTTTTATGTTTGTATGACCTTATTCGTTATTGTTTAGGCTTTATTAGACTAATTTTCCAAAGTGGAGGATAGTTGACATTTGGTCCTTCCTGTGTTGGTATGATTGATTTGTTCCTCTGTCAACATTAGTAATCTAGACAGCTGGCTGGCAGTTAAACTTGCAGTGAATTTGACACATGATGAATTTAATTGATTTTATTGTTATTTCATACTCTAATCTCTTTTATTCTTATTTTGTGTAGAGATCTAGGGGTTCATGTTGACGGCTTCATTGCCAATGTTGCTCACAGCTTTGTGGTGGGAGCCAGTAAGGTGAGGGCATTTCTTGAAACACTGCTTTAATCCCAGTTTTGAGTCATTTCATTAGAGAACACCTTTAATTCCTCTTGTCGCTGTGTCTTATTCCTGCAGGAGAACCCCATCACAGGTCGGAAAGCTGATGTAATGAAAGCAGCCCATCTGTGTGCAGAAGCAGCTCTTCGCCTCGTTAAACCTGGTAACCAGGTACATGTAACCTCTTCCTCACAGTCTTCTCCATGTCAGCGATAAGAGTCTCCTCTCTTAGGCACTGCAGATCCTACCAATAGTCCTGCTCTGCTGCTCTTTGCTCTTCTATACATTCACCAGATTAAAAAAACAGATCATATAATTGGCCATAGCTTGAATAAAAGCCTAAATGAATAGTTGCCTTCAGACTGCATTTCAGCTGCTAGCGTTTTGCATTTTTAAGTGCAGTTAGTGAGAGTGTATTTTGCATGTGAAAGTAATGCATTTCCTGTGTCTCTCAGAACACTCAAGTGACAGAAGCCTGGAACAAGATCGCTCAGTCGTTCAAATGCACACCAATCGAGGGTGAGTGCCTCAGTAACGTTTGTGTGTCTCATGGAAAAGGCATTCGGGGCAACCATGAGAGCTTACTCTTCAGAAACTCTTCAGATTTATTTGCATAATAGGAAGATAATGACTTTTATGAATTCATAACATGCATGTGGATGTTTTCATTGAAATGGTAAAAATGTTTCCTGTTTTTAATATCAGTTTGTCTCCCTGGCTCTGTGTGTTAAAGGTATGCTGTCTCATCAGCTAAAGCAACATGTCATAGATGGAGAGAAGACCATCATTCAGAACCCGACAGACCAGCAAAGGTATATTCAGTGAGGATGGGAAGGAAATGTGAAGTGTTCTGTGGGTGTTTTTGAATTGTAGTAAACCATCCTCACATTTTGTGTCCATTTACACAAACGGAGTGTAAATGATGGATAATGCTTGCATGTATTTATAAGTAGTGGGATTCAGTCCAAAGGAATTTCAAATATTTCACTAAATATTCATCTGTTCATTCTGTCGCACTAGTTTTTATTTTTTCCCATAGAAATAAATACCAACAGCACATAAACTTAAGATTTTTTTTCTAAGCGTCTGATTGTTTTGAACATGAATAATATCATTTGAATGTCACACATTTGGTTACTGTACATGAAATCTGCTGTATATCTGTCAACCCTCACACATACATACAACCAAGTTGTGTGTAAAGCTTTTATGCACTGAAGTCACCTACAGTTCAAAGCTGTTTTGACACATTACTGTTTTTCTTATTCTTGAATATAACCCTAATGAGTGTAAACTTGACCACATGAAGTTTCTCTCACCCATATCACAAAAATACACATTTCTCACATATCCCTATCTCGCCAGGCTTTAAGTTTCAGTTTGATGTGAAGTTTTCTGAGCTCTGCTTGAGACTTGCGCCACAGCCCCATTATAATGTAGAAATGAATGGAATTTGGTCTGTGGTGTTGAAACCAAACCAACCTCAATTACATTTGGAAACACTCGACAGTAAACTGTCTAGTGGTACTGTAGTAGTTAAAACTATTCAGTGAGATCTGTGGCTTTAAATACTATCTTGAGTGTTTATATCTACCTTGACAATGAACTTATGCTATTATTAGAATATGTTACTCATCTTTTTTACTCACTTACATTCATTATCAGGAAGGACCACGAGAAGGCGGAGTTTGAAGTACACGAAGTCTATGCTGTGGATGTCTTGATTAGCACCGGAGAAGGGAAGGTCAGTGACCTCTTTTGTCTCGCTTCATTACCCATAACTGCAGAAAGTTTCTGCTTCTGCTGTAGCTAATTACTTTACTGTAAAGACAGTCATTGTTTTTACTCACCATCATTTCCAAATAGGCCAGAGATGGAGGTTTGAGGACCACCATTTACAAGAGGGACCCCAGTAAGCAGTACGGCTTAAAGATGAAAACTTCTCGTACATTCTTCAGCGAAGTGGAACGCCGCTTTGATGCCATGCCCTTTACTCTCAGGTATGAACACTGCACAGTACATATAGCTACAAATATACATAGTCCACTAACCTGCTGAAAGTTTAAATAGATTGACAGCAAGTTGAACATTAGTATACTTGCTGGCTTAAGCACTTAAAACCACCATTAAATTTTTTTCCATCAGGGCATTCGAGGATGAGGCCAAAGCCCGTCTGGGTGTGGTTGAGTGTGCCAAACATGAATTGCTACAGCCCTTCAGTGTGCTACAAGAGAAAGAGGGTGAGTGTTTATGTCCCTTTTTATTATGTTGTTGTTTTTTTTTTTAACAGCTTTCACTTTTTATTTACCAACCCCCTCCGTCGGTGTCTTTGTTCCCAGGAGAGTGTGTAGCTCAGTTTAAGTTCACAGTGCTGCTGATGGCCAACGGGCCTCACAGAATCACCAACGGACCCTTCGATCCAGAGCTCTACAAGTCAGAGCATGAAGTTCAGGATGCAGAGCTAAAGGTAAAGATTGTGACTTACATGGAGCTCCTTTATCACACAGAATCTGGCTTCTTTACATTCGACTCTCTTTATACTGAAATGTCTCTCTTCTTCCGTAGACTTTACTACAGAGCTCCGCAAGCCGTAAAACACAGAAGAAAAAGAAAAAGAAGGTAAATTACTTATAACAATGAATTGTGGGAGTGATGCACAGCTTACTTGTCTTACCTTCAACAAAGCTAGTTCAATTACCTCCTTGTTTTTGTGTCTCAGAGAATACATATTGGGTGTAATGTTAACCCCATTTACTGACCTGTACCTCCCTTTTCCGATCCTGCAGGCCTCAAAGACAGCAGAAAATGCAACCGGACAGCCAACTGAGGACACAGAAGCCGTAGAATAAATAAATACTGCCTTTCCACACATGCAAGACCCCAAAGAGAAGCAAGAGAAAACATGACAAATTGCCCCAAACACTCTGCCCATTACACACATAATAGAAGTGAGTTCATAAATTAAATTGATGAATTCATAAGAACTTTGGGATTAAATGTATATTTAAAGATCCAACATGGATTCTTAACCCTTTACTGCATTAATTGGAAGTACCATGGAAAGAGTGTTGCTTTTCTTTCCTAATTAAAATAAAGAGTATTTGAAAATACTTTTACATCTTTGTAAAGACTTGTTGCCAAATGGTAAGTGTGTGTGACTGGTGCCTGTTTCTTAAATTTCATGCTTGTATTGCTGAAAGTAAAACTGACGCTTACAGTGGGCATTTATGGGAGTGGTAGTCTGTATTTTTGACATCCAGCTGCTGGTGAAAGATAATTTTATGATACCGGTTCATAAACTCGGTTCCCTTCTTTGAGGCATTGTGTAGCCGAGGCCATTGTAGATTCTCCTGTTGCTTTAATTGGGATGGTTTGACTGAACTGTCATGTTGTTTCCATTTGGCAACAAAGTTATAAAACGTTATCTAAACTTGTTTATATGTAAACAAACATTTATAGTAAAAAGAAAGATCCAGATATTTTATTGGAAGGTTTAGGAGCACTTCGTCAACTCTTAAGTGAGAATCATGAGGGATGTTGATGAGTTTAGTCATCCAGTAGCTTGTGAGCTTTCATTAAATCTTTTTTTAATTACACCACGCAGTAAAGGGTTAAATTATAAATTTGTCTCACTCATGAAATGACACATAAAATGTAACACAGCTGACAGTAAATGACAGTAATTACAGGGATTTTAATGTAATCGATGGCGTTTTGCATCAGAGTTGATGTAGCGAAGGTTTACGGTTGCTTCTGTCATCAAGACTTCACCACATTTATGGCTGAAATTACAACGTTTTAACCACACTAGATTTTTTTAAAGCAATAATCAGCGCAGAAGAAGACTGGAATATTTTTAAGTGTAGGAGCAACAAACACAATTTTCAGCTTGACTTTAGGGAACAAAACTGCCACATTTACTGCCATTCCCCTCGAATTTTATGAAAACAGAAATCTATACGTTCCAAATTTTGAAAACCTTTTTTTATTAGCGACACCTCTGACTTCCTTTACTACATCTTCAGTCTCGTGAAGCATGAAAATGAGGCTGTTAAAGCTTAAAACAGTTTTGTTGGGTGTCTTCAGTGGAGTTGGACCAGTAAGAGATCATTTTGTTGTCTGATTTTCATTTCGAAGTCTGGGACAATGTTGAGAAAAATAAAAACCTGCTTTGTAGCTCAGTAAGTGGGCAATGGAACTTTACATCTAATAAAATAAACATTTTCATACATTTCTGTTTTTCTGTCAATATTATTCTCAAACTCAAGTATTGGAAATGTAATGCAATGAAATATGACTGCCTGCATATTTAAGTCTTAACAGTAAGGTCTGAAGTTTATAAATTGTGGTGGTGTCCTCATTGGTGTTGAAGGACAAAAAATGAGTCAGCATCAGTGAGACTGGCCAATACAATATATATAATAGATCATTTGTGGACAATCATATAGATAGATAGATAGATAGATAGATAGATTTATCCTGAGGGAAATTCAAGCATCCAGTAGCAGCATACAAACATAAATCAGACATACATTAAACATACATTCATACATTAAAATCAACCTATAGCACAGTAGCCATTCATTAAATTGGATAAATTCAGCTTTTGCAGAGGAATAAAAATATGTTCCGAGAGAGAAAATAAACCAGAAAAATAGAAATGAAACATGTGCAGGTAAGTTAAGTGTTTATAGGTTAATGTAAACTATGTGCAATTAAAATGAGGCTGTCGACCGATGAATGAAAGTCACAGCATTTAGCAGAGGTAGTGTAGATGGAGTCAGTGCAGATGGAGGAGGAAATTGTCCTATTATCTATTGTCCTCGTTGCCTTGACTAAGAGCTGTTGTACAGTCTGATGGCCAGGGGGACGAAAGAGTTTTTAAGTCATCAGAGATTTTTCTAGCCCTTTCTTATCTCTGGCTGTATTGGGTGCATTCGATATTTACATGTATGATTTTTTTGCATCAGTGTAATTTAGTATTTTGATTTTGTGATTATTTATCTTGCTGTATTTGACAAAAACTGACATTTCTGCCTGGTTACTTGATTTATTTTTCCAACTAATTGACTCTATCATGATAGATATTGATAACACAATATTGAATTAAATATACCACGATAGAGGATTTAACCTATATTGCTCTCTCCTAAGCATCAGGATTTTGCATAAATCCATTTTAAGTTATTCTATGATCAGTCAGAAAGAACAAATTAGTCTGAAGATTTGATTGATTAAACAAGAAAATCTAATTTCAAGGTAAGTTTAGTAACTACTGGAGCTTTTGACCATATCACCCAATCCTCATCAGCAGAATATGGTTGCTCAATTGCTCGTCATCTGCTAATGAAGACTGTGTGATAAACTACTAAATGTACCTCGGTAGCTTCAAGGTCAAGAATTTACTTTATCTGCTATAAAATAACACCCCAGTTGATTTTTATATTACGATTTGGAAATCAAATAAAAATAAAACATAGCCAGTGCGGTGTTTTAAAATCAGTTCTCCAAGGCCAAAGCTACACATGAGTCCCCAGCAGAAATGAGTATGTTAATTGCTTTCTGTGTGCTAATTATTAGGATTATTGTTTTGAGTTGGTTCAGTATTTATAGATGTAAACATAATAGAGACTATAGACTAGAATAGAATATAGAATATAGACTAGCTTTCATTAAAAGTTAGATATTACATTGAACCGCCTGCCAGAGTCCTTTTGAGCAGAGAAGACAAAAAAAACTACACTTCCCAGTGACGTAAGAAAAACACAGTTGGCGCTAGAACGTGACGTCACCGCCTGTATAAATCCCGCCCTCTTCCGTCGTCACATCCTCTTTCCGTTGCTCTCCTCGCTCCGAGGTGAGGAAAACTGCGTCTCTGATAACTGAATCCGAAATAATCACTGAGTTTTACAAATCATCCGCAGTCACCAATAACTTTATTTGTTCCCTTTTCACAGAAACTTCTCCACACGATGAGAGCCAAGGTAAGTTCACCAGCCTGAATCAGTATTTTACTGTTTTCTGTCTTCTTCCTGTTGTAGTCAATGCTGCTAGCTAGCCTCTGAACAACACCCCTCCTGCGCTGCTTCACATTGTCTGTTGCTTTAAAGAGTTCCTCTTATTCTTTATGTATTTATCCTCCCCTTATTCAAACTAACAGCTTAAAACGTAAACTCAAGCCGTCATTTATATTTTAAAACGCGTTAAATACTGGTGTTATTATAGGAGGGCCCTCTTTGGTGCATGCTATGTTAACAGTGGTTGACCACTGAGTGCAGGTAGCTGTATGGTGAATGTATGCTCTCTAATGTCTTCAGTACCAGTGTTAGTTTGTAATGTGCCTGTCAATATTTATTCCTGTACTGTAGCATGCTGCCTGTAACGTACTCAATGAGTGGTAGTGCACACATGGCCCATTGTACTGTAATTACTGCTCACTAATGAATATCTTTGTTTTCCAGTGGAGGAAGAAGCGTATGCGCAGGTAAACATTGATCCACTTTACTTTGTAAAATTACTAGTTGCTTGAAATTGAGTTGGAAACTGATGCTGTTAGAGAAACAGTTGTGGTACATGTGCCACAGTGTAGATAGACACTGTTGCACGTGTATCCTAAAAGCATTACAGACCTCCAGTATACTGCAGTCCAGCACTGGATCAGTCTCTAAAGACACACAGAAATTCTTGTGCTATAATCAATGAGGGCTATCTCCTATTGAGACATTCAAATATATTATAGCCATTATCAGCAGTGTTTTGAACATGCTGTTCGGTGACACTCAAACTCAGTTGACTGTATTTAAATGCCCATCTGTAGTTTACTGTGAGTGTTAATAAAAGTAGGACAGGAGCCTTTTCTATAATTGTGAACCAAGACATGTTAATGGACCCATGTTCTAAGTATCTGTTGTCCATTAAAATATCCATTAATGGGTGAATAGTGGCTCAAAGTTTTAAACAACCATGCTTTTTAAAATGGTCCGGCTCTCATTTGCTACTCGGTTCCCTGACATGTGTCTGAAATGCAACCTTCAGCTCTTTTGAGAATTGGTCTTGATATACCAGAATCAATAACTATGACCAGAAGGCAGTTTAGGGCTCTCGAGAGAACTCAGATGTTGATCAATACCTGAATGTAGTGCCCCAGTTGCACTTTATAAATTGGCTATTAAAGCCTTAAATTATGAGGTCATAGCTTAAGGATGAATTTTGTCAAGATGTAAGGGGCATTACAGTGAACGTCTGTGGGGTTTCTATTGGTCCAGATGTCAGCGCTCTTTATTGGGACTTGAGCAGCAAACTTGTGTTTCTGTTCATTTCTGATTTTTATTATTTTTCTCAACAGGCTGAAGCGTAAAAGGAGAAAGATGAGGCAGAGGTCAAAGTAAGCCCTCATCCCCGCCAGCTGTGATCCCGTCAGAGCCTCTCTAGATTGACTCATGTGGCTGAAGTGGAGCCTCTTTTGTGGAACAACGGCCTAAAACCTGATTTCAGATGACTGTGTGTCTCATGGAGCCCGCTGTGAACGTCTGACTGGAAGAGGCGAAGACGCTGGACAGATCTCAACATCAGAACTACAGCTGCCTTGTTCATGGACCATAATACATACGTTTACCAACAACTGTCATTTGGTGTATTGAACAATAAATGAACACTGTTAAAAGTTTATCACAAGTTTCAGCCTCTTGATTATGTCTGTTACAAGATTAGTCTGTAGTCTTGGATATTAAATGAATGTATTGATTGCGCAACATGGAGCACAAAGTCATGTATAATGTAGCTCTGGTTTTGTGAGTTGGTGTGAACATAAATTGTAGCAGCATGTAAAACTACTTATGGACCACAAACTGACTGCAAAGGAGTTAAATATAGATGAGGTCAACTAATGTGGTTTCTTTAACATTAGTGTTTAAAGGGCAGGTGACTCCTAACATTAAAAAAAATACGGAAAAACTGATCAGCAAGCTTGAAATCCAGAACAAGTCACTATTGAGCTACTCTATATATTTGCCATAGGCACAAGTTCAATGGCTTTAGAGAAGTGTTTTTGGTCTGAAGCAGATTTCAGCCCTACATTATTGGACATGTTAACATCAGTAACCTGTTGCTCTACTGCACATAAAACAGAGGTGGTGTTGAATGTCACACACATCCTTAACAGGTTCAGAGTGCAGCGCAGTGTCAGCCTTCCCTTTTATACTAAAGCTGAGAACAGATGAAGCTCAGGCACAAAGGTGGCATTTAAACACCCCTTTAATAGCAACATGACTTTGTGTGTCTGGAGAAAAAGTCATGATTGACTCTCTCAAACATGTTTAAATCCAAGAATCTCTCAGTATTTTAACAGCAACCTTATCACTGAGATACAACTCTTAGAAATAAAGCAGGCACAGCTCAAACAGGGTCTTTGTGGGACTCACAAGAAGAAGTTAAACTGAAGGTCACAGCAACTTGTTTTCTGACATTTTGCCATCTTTTGTCGACTCCAGTTTATACTGCTGTATTGATCTGGTTCAATAGTTCTTTAAGATTGTTTAGTTGCAGTAAAAGTGCCACAAATAAACTGATCAAATTCTCATACATGATCTCATAAATCATAAATGATCAAATCATTTGACATAGAGCTGAGATCCATTTAAATCCTTCAACGTTTTCACATTGATGTAAAATACTCTATTACAAGTAAAAGTACTATAAAAGAAGTATTATCAGAAAAAAGTATAACAAGTAAAATAACTGGTTCTGCAGTAAACTGGTCCCTGTGACTATTAGTTTTGTTTTGTAAAATATTTGTCTTTAATGTAAAATCTTACTTTGTAACTAAAGCTGACAGATTAATGTATGGGAGTAAAATGTGCAATGTCCTCTGAAACGTAGTGGAATAGAAGTAATGCAAGTAAACTGCAAGTTCCTCACAATTATACCTAAGTACAGTAAATATACTTAGTTACTTGCCACCACATATCTTAAATCTGTGTGTGTGTGTGTGTGTGTGTGTGTGTGTGTGTGTGTGTGTGTGTGTGTGTGTGTGTGAGTTTACTGAATTTAAGACTGTGTCACACTTTTGGTTGTGATTAATATCAACAGTTACATTCAGTGGAGTAAGAAATATTCAGATCCTTTTCTTACCTCCTGCCTTTAGACTTTGACTTTTATCAGCAAGATTTACTTTGAGTATAAAAAAGTAGTGATTAATCGAACATAAGGGTATCTAATCTGCAAAGTAACTACAGCTATAACTGTAACTAGTAGCTGTCAGATAAATAGAGTAGATCTGGAGGGTCAACAGTGGTCACGCCTAAAAAACACCCCAGTCTGGTGTCAAATGCAATCAGAATTAACACATTCATTTAGATGAATAAATCAATCAATGAATTAAAGATAATGTGTTAAAAATGGAAATGAAGACATATAATCGAATGATCTGTTATGGCCACATTTTAGACTGAGTAATAAATAGGCTTCAGTTCAATGACAAATTTATATTCAGAAAAAGGTCAATTTATTGATTTCTAATGCCACCTTTAGATATTTATATTCAATACTTCACTAATGTAAAAAAAAAAAGTAATGTTTTTGAGTTAAAATATCTTTATTTGGGGGCTGTTCCAAGCAAATATTGAAACGTGATTGTTGGTGATTAAATTATTAATAATTTACTTCTGCCACCTCTTGAAGTCTCTTTGCCACAATCATAATTATTTCTCTAGATCTCCAGGGGAAGGAGGGGAAAAACAGAGCTTACTTGAATTTTAAAATGTCGGGATTTCAAAGTGGGGCATGACATAAAAAACACTGGGAGCCAGAAACAGAAATCATTTCAGTGGATTAATTGATCTGCATAATTGAGCCCATTGGTAGTCGCGACAGTCCGCCAGGGGGCGCTCGGGACCCGCCTGGATGCTGCACAGTGAAGACACCGTAGAATAAGAGTTAGTATTGTAAACACAAGGATATGGCTGACGAGAGGGGTGGAGGTGAAGACAACATTAACGACAACATGGGGAACCAGTTACAGCTTTTACCAGGTAACAGTTGAAGTCACCAAACGACTGGTCGGTGTTTCACCGGAAGAGCGTTTACCTGTCCACCCTGCTAACAGCTAACAGCTAACAGCTAACTAACATTTGTCCACAACAGGCCACTGTCAGGGATCACATCCTGAGCGAACCTCTGCTTCTTTCACTTTCTCTTCGTTTTATACCATCAGAGTGACTTATTAAGATGATATATGTGCAGCTGCGGTCTGTTTAGGAGACACTGAAAGAGCTGACTAGCCTCACTGTGAGCCTTTTTGCTCTCTGTGCCATGACAGACAATGAGGAAGAGGAGGAGGAAGATGACATGGAGACTGAAGACCGAGACAGTGAGGAGGCAGAGAAACCCAACATCATCACCTTTGACCCCAGTCTGCCCACATCGCATGCAGTGAGTGAAGCCACAGATTTCTTTCCTCAGATAATGTCTCTCTGCAGGTTTAGTACCATCCATCTGTATATTTACCCTCCCAGTGTTTTTGCTGTATTTGCTGTATTGTCAGTTATCTGCAGCCGTTGTGGTCATGTTGCGTTGTGTTGACACTGTCCCCTGTGGTGGCAGTACCTGGGTTCAGACATGGAGGAGTTTCACGGCCGCACAGTCCATGATGACGACAGCTGTCAGACCATCCCTGTGCTGCCACACACAGCTGTGATGCTGGTGCCGGGTCAGACGCTGCCTCTGCAGCTCTTCAGGCCACAGGAGGTCAGCATGATGCGGAGCGTCATCCAGAGAGACCGCACCTTTGCTGTGCTTGCACACAGGTATTAAATGACTCTGTATGCATTGGTAATCATCACGGACTCGACACATCTGATAAATGGAGAGCATCTTTTTGTTTGGTCTGTCAGTTAAAGGGACACCCCGCTGGTTTTACACCACTGAGGTTTACTAGTCACAAGGAGTTCGATGTAGCCGATAAAAACAGTTGCATAATGTTTTCTATGACACTTGAAGAGTGTTTTAAAGTCTGACAAAATAATCCTGATCATATCACAAGCTTGGCTTGAGCCTGGAGACTTCAGTTTAATAACAGAAAGCCTGTTTTACAAACAAGGGGCATGGAGTTTGAAATATCTGGGCATTTACCAGAGTTGGTTGGGAGTTCTAATAAAAAGCTGCTTTCAAGTTGCATTATGGGAAAAGCAGGAGCCACTGTTTTTGGAGCTTGCCCCGAATGATGGACTAAAATATATCTGCCTTGGATTTCTTTTTAAATGTCCCTTGTGAGTCCTTCAAACCTTATAGAAGTACGACACTAAATCACTGGAGCATCCTTTGAGATTAATAGTGGTGTTTCATTTCATATCTGTCTTAGCAGCGATGCAGGGGAGCCGGAGGCAGAGTTTGGGACAACGGCTGAAATCTATGCATACCGAGAGGAGCAGGAGTACGGCATTGAAACTGTCAAAGTGAAAGCTGTGGGGAGGCAGAGATTCAAGGTTCATGAGATAAGAACTCAAGCAGACGGGTAAGTTGAATTGCCCCATAAACCATTACACCAAAGGTTAGGACTCAATGCTTGTGCACATTTGAATGAGAGCTGTCCTTTATGAGACATAAACATTGTGCCTCCATTGTTCTCACAAGGAGTAAGACGACGGTTGTAGGAGTCAGAGCTGGTTAACATCGCAGTTATTCCTACTGATTCAAACAGGGATAAGCCAAATGTAATAATCTGGTATTAACTAACTGATGATAAGATATCCAGCACCACTTTGGACTAGGACTGCAGATCAATGGAGGAGACTCATCTACAGTGTGTGTGTGTGTGCGTGTGTGTATACCCTCCTTAACAGCTTTTACATTCATTTGTATTGACAAAATAGATAAATATTTAATTTCCCTCTCAGGTGATAGAAACCAAGAAATCTAATTTGAAGCATATTTTTTTGTGATGTGATTCATACTTACTCATTTCTTGAGGCCCATTATACATTATTTTGAGGATTTTTCTAAATGACTTTGGTGGTGCTCTCATAGTTCACAGCTAGAGGGCAGACTGACTCTATTCACTGTCGTCTTCAAAGCATAAACTGAAAACATCACAGTCAGTGTCCATTGATTGTATTTGTGCAGTGAGACTGTTGCTACTGTAAACACACACCTTCGGGTTTTTGTACAAGGTTTTTCTGCTAATATACTCTAATACTAATACTTGAGAGGGTTTAGTTTGTTTTTAATCATCACAAGAAAATGCAAAGCCCAGCCTTGGTGCAGTGAAGCATCTATGGAAAAATGCTGCCTATTTAACTGGTCATACTATAGATCATGTCCATTTACATCCTCCACTGTTCAGGAAATCACTGAGGTTTACTGTCGATAAAACTGAGTCTTCATAAAGACACATTTCCCTTTTTCTCTAGTTGCTGTTGCTGTAATGCACATTAATTGGTTGCCATAATCCTGTTGACCTCTTGTTGTACTGCAAGTGACCCCAGAAAGCACAGAATGGAAGTTATCACTCACTTAAATGGGCTGTTGTGCCCTCTGAGGTGATATGTACTAAATATTGATAAAGTGTTTGCTGTTTATCTCAGTGCAGTTCTCCTCCTCTCTCGAGCATCTCTAAAACATTTTATGAATGTTCAGCCTGGGAGTTCTGATCACTAAACCTGCCACAGAAACAAACATTTGGAAATTCAGTGCCACGTCCGTCATTTTATGCCAGCAGTTTGTGCACTAAATAGATAGAAATTAAACATTGCCTGTTGTCTTTTGGCAGGAGCGAACTGTATGCCATTTTAGGTTTACAATTATATAATTTATTGTTAGACCCGACAGTGTTTTTTTATTGCTCATGTGGTGTTGCTTTGTGAATGTTTGTTTGTCTGAGCTCCAAGTTCATGGAGTTTGCCTCGGGTGAGAAGCTGAAGGAATATTTCTCATTGCTGGCAGAGAAAATGTACAGACAGCACTGTTTATGATCACCTCAGATTTACAAACATCCTGTCATACATCTGATGACATTCAGCCAGCACACCATTTGTTTAATCTGTTATTCATCTGCTCGGTTTCACTCGTCTACTCTTGATCTCTTTCCCTCCTCATTGGTCTCTCCCCCCCCCCACCGCCCAACCTATGTCATTCTCTCCCTTTGTTTCTCTCCTTAGGATCAGACAAGCCAAAGTACAAATCCTTCCAGAACGAATCCTTCCAGATCCCCTCTCTGCCGTGCAGCTAACACCCCTCTCCAGGCTCCACATGCACCCCTCCTCCAAACCCTCCACCCAGAGCTGCAAACAGGCCCAGTGCTGGTGGAGTAACTACCAACAGGTCAGACGTACAAACACTTACACGCAACATACATGTGCAGCAATTGCAATGACCTACATAAACGCAAAAGACCCTCAGACCATCTATGTAGTTATTGTTAATGCCTGTTACCAGGGCGGATTCCCCTTGAAATCAATGAAACGAGGCGGTAGAAACACCAGCACTTTTGTCCACAAGAGACACCAGATGCTTAAGATTATTTCTATTACTTATTAATCTACAGATTATTTCCTTGTTTGTAAAAAAAAATACATCAGAAAATAGTGAAAAATGTCCATCCTGGTTACGCAGAGTCAAAGGTGACTTTGTGTTTGTGAAGTGTTTGACCAACAGTCAGTCAGACACTCAGTTTATTTAGAGAAGGAAATGCAGCAAATCTTCACATTGGAGAATCTGGTGCTGAAATTTTTGTCTGAAAAATTTGATCAATTAAATCAATCAATCAGCACAACTGCTGATTTAATTTTCTTTCGTTTGAGTAATTTGTTAATCCGCTAATCGTTGCAACTCTAATTAAAAAAAAGTATGCAAATATTTTCAACAAAAACACAGAGTTAAAAACAGTACAGTACAGGCAAAGTCATGACACGCCCTGCTCTTGTGATTGACTCGTACTCATTGCCTTCATTGGATTGGTTGGTTACGAGGAATGAGATCGGTTTGGGTTAGGGTAAGACAGTCAGAGGCCGGTCTTCACATCGCCATCTTGGGGAAATAAATCACGTTCAGTACTTAGCCAAGCATGATATCTTAGAGTGCACATGGCTTTACATTTTCTTTATAATGTTTAAAGATAGCAGAACAGTAACAATGTCACGTAGTCGTCTGTATTGTATGTAAGTATGTTGAAGGTTGCTATGGTAATTTGAACCTTAGAAAAGTTAATGTGGCATTTAAAAAAATAATAATATTTTAACAAACTTTATGCTTAATGTTAATCTTACAACACACAATAATATTTTAGACAGCAGTGTCCTTCCAACTTTGTGGGAAAGGCCCTTTTGCAACAGGTAACTTTATGCATTGTCATATACGGGTATAATGTTTGGATGTCCACATACTCTTGGCCATATTCTGTTTGTGCAGTAATAGCAATATGATAAGAGAAGAGAAATTGTATGGATGTTTGGGTACTTCAGTAATCATAATGTGAAGATTTAACTCATTAATGGTGTGTCTGGTGTTCATCACAGAGGAAGTTTCACTGTGCCAGTCTGACGCCATGGCCACCCTGGGTCTACGCACTCTACGACTCTGTGAGTACTGCAGCCCGTGTGCCCTGCTTGGAATTTTCTCTATACATAAACATCACATAGGAGTGAATGTAAACCAAACCAATCTGCTTCCTGTTTATCACTTTGCAGGAGTCTCTCATGAACAGAGTGAAGAAACAGCTCCATGAATGGGACGAGAATCTGAAGGATGACTCTCTCCCTACGAACGCCGTAGGTCAGCCTCTGTTCAGTGTATTACAGATGTACTGCAGACGCGTACACACATGTGCACGTACGTCTTTTCGGTTTGTGTACTTTGTGCTTTCTTTCCTTCCTTCCTTTCATCCCTCTCTTTCCCTTCTATCTGGTTTCTGTCAGACTTCTCCTACAGAGTGGCGGCTTGTCTGCCCATAGACGACGCTCTGCGGCTCCAGCTGCTGAAGATCGGCAGTGCCATCCAGAGACTTCGCTGTGAGCTGGACATCATGGACCGGGTAAGGAAAGGTCACCTATAACCCCTTTTCTCTGCCCAACCACCTCAGCCTCTCTCCTCTGCCCCTGCAGTCACAGCCATCATTTCCCTCATAGTGTGATAAGATCTGATGTTCCTACTTGTGTTGTACTACGCAGACTGTGTCTGTTTCCCCCTCTGATGTTCTTTGTTATATTTAACCATGCCTGTCAGGGGCTGACAGATGTGTTGTTGCTGCAAAATTTCAGTCCAGAGTTCGCAGTCAAAAGTGTTTAGAAATCATTTAGTGTAAACAAAGATTGTTTGATTTTATCGCTGGTAACAATGAACTTTAATAGATCTGTAGTAAACACACTGAAGACATTAGCTGTTTGTCATATTTAATCTGTGAGACATATTTGGGTGGTGGATATTTATTAACAAAACAACGTCATTCAGACAGCAGAACATTGTTGTTAATGTGTGTGCGTGTGTGTGTGTGTGTGTGTGTGCGTGTGTGTGTGTGTGTGTGTGTGTGTGTATACATACACATATATTATATATATATATATATATATATATGTATATATATATACATACTGGTGTAATGTATGTGCGTGTGTTAGTAGAGAGGTGAGATAGTTCAGATACTTGCCTGTCTCACCTCTCTACTAACATCCATATTATGATATAAACAGACCAAACGGTTTGGCCTCTGTCTTCTCTGCTTACTTGACTGCTTCATGTCAAGACCCTAAAATCTTTTCCAACCACTTTGTCGTTTCAAAAGGGGAAATTTACTCTCTTCATTTGGTATGATATTGTTTATTTTTGCACACCTTGCTCCCAGTCATCGTAACAACAAATGCAACTTGAGAACAAGATACCTGATGAAGAACATGAAGAAAGAACTAAGCAGGACATCTTTGGGAACTTGCAGTACTTAGTGTTTGTGAACTACCTCTTTTATGTGCTTAAGATGGTAAAATACTTCATGCACAACAACAAAACTAATACATGCATTTTTAAAAAGGGTATCAAACCCCCCGAAATGACCAAAAAAACACAGCAGAGTGATTTTAATAAAACTGAAATTACAAGCTCTTAGCGTGTAGTACTACTGTGGCATCACCAGAAACTGTAAAGCTGTGCCCGCCTATTATCTGCTTTTTGTCCTCCTGTGTGATTGATGATAATGATCCTCCTTTATGTCTCTCATTGGTCACACTGAAGTCCTGAACTTTTGTCATCCAGCTCTCTTCTGGAAGCATGAATGATGGGGCGGGTTATAGTAGCATCCTCAGTGAGCCTCAACGATGAGAACACTTTTCATTGAGAGTTTTTGACAAGTATTATGTATACATCTTTTTAACATGTTATTACCTCTCCTCCTCAGTGCACATCACTTTGCTGTAAGCAGTGCCAGGACACTGAAATCACCACAAAAAATGAGATCTTCAGGTGAGGACTTATTTTATTTTATTTTTTTAAAGACAGGTCAGAGTTTTTTTGTTCCAGTTTGTTTTGTTTTTGTTTACATGCCCACATAGGTATTTTTGCATATTGTACCTTGGTTATTACGGCTGCTTTTCAGTGTTAATACAAACGTCAAGAGACTTGACGTTTGTATTAACAATATTACACTTCTTCATCCATCTGGCAGGGTAACCAAAACAGGGAGCTGAAATTGTCTGAAAGCTGCATATAGTCCAGTCAACAGCACCAGCAACCCTTTTTATCATTCATCATTCTGTAGTAACATCAAAGATATCTAATTATTTCACAGAAAGATTAAATTGTTGTTTTATTATAGAACAAAATAAGTCATGCTTGTAGCAGTTTGGGATAATGTAAAAAAACACATTAACACAGTCTGATGCTGGAAGAAATCTGCGACTATTTATAATTTATTTTTTTGTATGTACCTACGTCAAAGTAATTACTGTAAGTATTGACACATCAAAGTAGACACAGGTTTGACTGCATCTGCAGTCTGGGGTTACATCATGAACATAAGTGGCCCTGCTCCGCACCTCCACACACACACACACACACACACACACACACACACACACACACACACACACTCATATACTCTTATGTAATGTCATTTTCTAACTGTTGATGATGTGTGATAGTTAATGTGTTTGTCTAAGAGTGACACACAAATCCTTTAACACCAATGAAACTGTCCAGACCCTCACTGTATGTGCATTATTTGATTTGTCTGAGGACAACCACATAATCCGAGTGAATGAGTGATTATGTGTTTAATATGATTTCTGAAGTTAGAGACATTCAGAAGTCCCTAACTTTTAAACCACACTTCCTTCAGACTAACAAACCTGCGGATGTAGCTAATGCATTTCCAATTAGAGCCCTAAGGAGTACAGGAGTACAGGACATTGCTACTTCACAAACTGACTCAACTGATTGATTGTATTTTAAAGTTATGTTTTTGTGTTTGTCTTGTGGTTTTGTATTTCCATAATTACTACACTCAGAGAACACTAGACTCATGTGAAGCCAGGGATGAAACATTTTGATGAACCCAGAATTTTTACATTAGTTTTATCTGAAGTTGTTTAAACCTGAATTGACCTTTTTGCCACTAAAGGTCATCTCTACAAGCTATAAACACAACAATGACATATTATCACTTCATAAAGTTGATGGGGTGAAGGTGTTAGCAAACAGTTATTTACACATCCAGCAGATTTTGATTATCAGTCATATTTCTGACCACATGATGAATAATGTTTACTCTCCTTTTAGCTCTGTTATGCTGGCAACAAACAGGCTGACATTGGATTTATGCCTGTGGCAGCTGGAAAAGTAAAGTCGTGTGTCATAAAACCAAAAAAATGCTAAAACTTTAAACAGAGCTGAGGGGAACTGCAGATCAAGTTATAGTCATCTGTGGGTTTATCACTACGAGCCAACTCGTTACACATACTGATTCCATCCATTGTTAAATATAAAAATTTAAGATTAAGATTAAAAAACACTTCCACACTAAATCCTAATTTGAAATATATATTCTGCATCCTATTCTGAAATATATAATGCTTATTCTAAGTAAACGACTTTTCACACACAGTTCACAATTTACACATTTTATGTACAAAATCCACCTGTTGTGTTAACAAGATTTCAAGGTTTGTGGATTTGAGCATTGCTTGGTTGTGATGAACTCTGCTGGGTTCAGAGAGGCTGCAGAATTTAATGTACAATTTAGGTATTTTTAATGCAGTTTGGCTCCCTTTCTACCTTTTATGGCATTTCTAATCAGCCTGTTTTACTCTGTCTTTGAAAGGACTATTCTGATGTTTTGTTTTCTGGGTGAACCGTCGTAATCACTACTGACAACATATCCCACCTGCGTCTTCTCTCCCTGCAGCCTGTCTCTGTACGGACCCATGGCTGCGTACGTCAACCCTCATGGATACGTCCATGAAACCCTGACTGTCTACAAAGCCAACAACCTCAACCTGGTCGGCAGGCCATCCACACTGCACAGCTGGTTTCCAGGGTAACTCTGCTATACTCATGGCATTTAGCTCACTCTCCTCCCTTTGATTATTGAATAAGATGACACAAAACGCACATAAATTGACTCAGACCACTCACTGTGCCTCTCAGTGCTTTCATAAATGCATCTTTCTTAATAAATGTGAGATATACCACTGACAAATGGCACCAGACCTCTTGAACACGCTTTAAAACCATATTTGGTTTAGCAGCGATCCGTTGTGACGCTGCCCAGTGCCTGAAATTAGAAACCTTTGGCTTTACCATGTCACATCATAATCAATAGTGTATAATTCTTTTAACCAATGGGTAATCTCTTGTTAGTGATCTGGGGTCGTTGTATGACACCGGGCTTCTGTAGAGAGCAGCAGGGGGCGTGAGACCTGCCAGAAGCTGTCTGTGTCAAATCAAACTGATCTGCTAATAACATGGGACCTAGTTTCATTTACTGTTACATTCTGCATTTGTTCCAGTCTGAAGTTTATTGTTCTCTCACTAGTGGAAGTTTGTCTTTTAAGAAATTTTAAGAGATCTGACAAGTAGAAGAAGATACTGTAAATGTGTATCACTGATATGGACTGTGAGATATTTGGTTTATGGTGTAGTGTGTCATAGGTGTCAACTCATCCACAGATTCAGACCAGAGTAAACAAACTATACTTTGACCTTACAGAGTATTTGATACTCAAAAGTGTTTCTTTCACTGAAACCTTTCATTTTAAAGTTCCGCTGCACTCAAAAACGTGCTTTACTTACTGTTACTCTAATGCTTGAGCTTCGCTGTATGTGCAGAGTTTTACACTAGAAGGCTGTTTTCACATTCATCTGCCGCTCACATTAAATTTGAGGATTTTGTTACTTCACAAGTAGTTTTTGAAGACAGTCACGGTGAACTATGCAGTAACTTACACAAATGTGACGAGGAAACTTGAATCCTCCAGAGCACAAACACTGAGACTTTGAAGTAGGAGACGTCTCTAACTTTTGAAATGAGCAATATTTGCATATTAGATTCAATCACAGTGATTTAACTGTTGGAAAAACTTTATAATTTACATATGATTGTTTGATCTTGAAAATGTTGTCCTCTTCCTTCTCCCTCAGGTACGCCTGGACAATTGCTCAGTGCCGAACCTGCGGCTCTCACATGGGTTGGAAGTTCACAGCCACCAAGAAGGACTTGTCTCCACCTCGTTTCTGGGGTCTGACCCGTTCAGCTATGCTCCCCCGTATCCCCCAGGGCGAAGGGGACGATGGGAGAGAGGGCTCTCGTCTCTTCTGCCTGTGACGTCGGACCATCATTGCCCTGAAGAAAGAAAAAAAAAAAACCCCTGCAAACCTCCCAAGCCTGGATCTTTAGGCACTCTGTCTGTGATTACTTTTAGTAATCAGTGCATCACACACCACCTGTCACCCCTGGCAGCAAATCCATCATATTAGTGGAAAGGTCATTCAGCCTTTAAATGGCACTCTAAGAGCAAATAAGAACAAGGAGGTCATGATTGTTCTTAAAGGTTCTTGAAATGCAGAAGCAGCAGAGAGACAACTTGGTGTGATGAAGTGAGAAAGAAATAGAGAATAACAGATTGAGTCCATAACACGTGGTAACACCCTCGCATGCAGCTCCCTGATCTACACCCCTGTCCTGCTGATTTCTTGGTAGCTGCAGACACACACAGACACACACAAAAGCTTAATGTATACTCTTTTCCTCTGTATGACAGAGTGTGTGACTGCATGTAGTCGAGATAGAGACATTTTTGGCAAGCAGTTAATCTTTAATCTGTTGTAAAATCAACCAGTTGATATAAATTCACTTAGCATTCAGATCCTTTGGGGGTCTCTCAGATATGTTTTCTGGTGTTCAGCTGCTATAGATCAGTGGAGGAAACTGCTTGAATCCAAGTCCACTCATGTATGTCGTGTAGATCTGTCATTATAGGTGTGATAGTTTGAATCTTGGAATTAAATTGGATGTATTTTTGTATGCAGGAAGATTGGAAAGTAATTTAACATACCCATCCATGTGTGGAGACACGTGCTATTTATTATCACGACAGTTTTTTATGTAATAAACAAAAAGCTGAGGTGACAATAACGATAATGTGTATTATACTTGATATAATCGGTGTCTGTTTTGTACTCAGCAAAGGCTCATTGTCCCGTCAGATAATGTGCTTCAGGAAACAAGCGTTATCTCTGGTTGCACGAGTGAAAACTGTTCTTCAGAGCTCATTAGCACAGAGAGCGAGAGGAGCCACTGACCCTTCTTCATTTAGTTTGTTCATGTTGTGTGGCATGTGAAAATGGTGTGCCTACGCCCCAGCTCAGTGTCTTTTGATAAGTCTGACGACTCAGTGAACAGACAGGAGTAAAAAAAAAGATTGCAAATGACAAAGTGATGATGAGATTTAGATTTAGTTGTTGAAAGTTTTGTTAGTATTCTCTTTGGTTTGTAGTTTCACAGTTTTCAAGATTTTACTTGCGATTTTGTTGCAAGGAGCTGGCTCATGTTTGTATAAATGTAACTGTAAATAAGAGGCAGTTAGAGCATTTGTTGTGTAATATAACCGGTGAATCTGACTCTTATTTCTCATATCTTTTCATGTCACAGAGAATTGTTAGGAAATACTATTTTCATCAGTAAGCAAAGTATTTGATCGCAATAAGAAATCGTCTGGATTGTGAAGATGTTGGTCTGTCTAATTAAATGTTTTCTGATATTTTCTTAAAGGAATAGTTTGACATTTTTTTTTTTTTTTTTTTTTTTGCCAGGCTAGTTATTCCTGTTTCCAGTCTTTATGCTAAGCTAAGCTAACCGGCTGGTGGATGTAGCTTCATATTTACTGTACAGATATGGGAGTGCTATCTCAATCTTCTCACATAATCTTTGGCTTTAAAGCAAATTAGTGTACTTTTCAAAATGTCAAAATTACTCTTTAAATGGCTTTCAATTTAAAAACTTGTTACAAATTATTCTTTTGGCCTAAGCAAGGTGTCATATGGGTGTACAGGTCTGAGTTGTGTCCACACTTACTGAGAAAATAACTTGACTTTGTGATTTCATGCATAGTTTGTTTTGAATTAGTGTTTTAATTTACCTTCATATTCATGTGGTTTTCCATTAAAAGAGTACTCCACCGATTTAGCATTGCACTCCTATCACATTGTCAGATTCACGATGGACAAGAAAAAAAGAGATATCTTCTTTTTTTATTCCACACATTCTTCTCTGCCATCTACCACCCTTGCCAATTCGGTTGGAGATTCAGGTGTGCTATGCTAAGAGTGGCTCAATGTAACCTCCAGCAGAGATCAGGAGCAATTATTATTTTAATTTTCAAACTTGTAGTCTACAGACCCAAACACTGACTCAATTGACATCACTTGACGAAATTTATTAGAAGGCTTTACACAATTATTTTTCACATATGCAGTAGTACTCCTTAAAATCTTTAAACAGACCTTGCCGATCTGGAAAATTGGTGAAGTTCCTCTTCAAGAATCAAAATGAGCGCTTCCTCAGAAATGTGTCTACATTTTTTTTTTTTAATCACCTTTAGATTTTTAATCTTTTACTTGGGCCGTTTTATATCATATTATCATATCATTTTATTTCATTAAGGAGAGGATGAGAATGTGAGTAGAATCTAAAATGCCTTTTTCATTATATTCTCTGTCATATCAGTGATTAAGTATTCGGCAGGCTGTCGGACCTTCATTCACCCCCAATAATCAAATGGATGCTTCACTGAAGAAATCAATGGCTTGATTCCAAAGAAGGTCTATGTTTGTTTTTCCATGAGATTCAGTGTACCACAGAGTAAAATAAACATGCACATATCCTGTGACTGTCTTCTGATTTACATATTTCAGTAGGACACTCGGGGTAGAGAGTGCATCAAGAGGCATCAGTTTGATACTTCAAACAACGTGTGTGTGTGTGTGTGTGTGTGTGTGTGTGTGTGTGTGTGTGTGTGTGTGTGTGTGTGTGTGTGTGTGTGTGTGTGTGTGTGTGTGTGTGTGTGTGTGTGTGTGTGTGTGTGTGTGTGTGTGTGTGTGTGTGTGTGTGTGTGTGTGTGTGTGTGTGTGCGCGCGCGCGCGTGTGTAAAGCCAGAGACATGAGGTGATGAATGGAGCTTTAACGAGCAGGTAAAAGGTTGTATGATGTCTTCACATCTGCAGATGTGCCATGTGCCTTCATTGTGTTTGTGTGCTTTCGTGTTTCTGCATATAATGAGTTTGCAGTTTATTAATTTTTCAAGCAGATACACGTGCACAGAAGATCATTTGTATGCTTGCACAGTGAGAGTCTAATGAATCTCTGAGTGCGAGAGGAGCCATGTCAACCACGTGGGGGTCCCTCAGTGAAGAGCATCTTGTAGTAATAAGGTGGACAGGGTTTGGGACGTGCAACATGTGACTTTTTATATCTCACCACTTAAGCTTGATGTGTAACAATACTGCTGACTTGTTTTGGGCTTTAGTTGTCTGCTTCTCTCCAGTAAAGCTTCTTGCTTTGTGAATCTGTGTTGTTGCTGTTGTTCGTGGCACATGCTCTGTTAAAATTGTGCTTTATTGAACACACAATCTTTAGGACAAGATGAACCTTTATTGATCCTCATGGTAAATTCTGTTGTTGCAGCAAAAGGACAGAAAACAGTACAGAAAGTAAAATAAATACATAATAAAATATATGAAACTAAAGTAAGACAAGAAAAAGAAACTTTGGGGACAAAATTACAGGTAAGGTGAGTGGTGTGGTTAAACAAACAATATATGAGTAAGTAATGGTACTTCGTTGTTGTCTGTACTAATATAATCTCTAAAGATGTAATAGAAGTATAATATATAAGGTAATAGTGGCAACAAAGATGATACATGTTGAAAATGTTGATATAAAAATGAGTAGAAATAAAAGCAGAAATTGTAGTAGTTTCAGAATATTGCGCTTTCTTGTAGTACTACTACTCCTATATCTCCATATATCATATATCTCCTCCATACTGCTGTATATCACCTGTGTGGTTCATATCCAACATGTCTACCTCAACAACATCAAACCACCCAAATCATCAGGAATGCTCTCAATGAAAATAAAGTGTTTTAAAGAGTTTTACACTTTACTTACAAGAAGTGTCCGTCTTCGCTAGAGTGGAGCACTGAAAAGCTTAATTTTATTTTATTTATAAAATTATGTTCCTTTTCTGTTACAGTAAAAGCCCTCATGTTGGGAAACATCTACCCTGCTGAAGTGTTCTTAAGCAACTCCATTTCTTTACCAGTTTACCCGTCTTTACCTCTGCAGGGCTAAACGCAACCAAGATCTCTGCCAGTGGAGAGAGAAACTAGAAGGATTCCTCGCCAGGAGAAAGATTCAAAAACTCACAAGAAATCCTCAACTACATCTGCACAACATGTTGTTAGAGGCTGTTTATTCTGGCATTTGGTGAATAATAATCATGAAGATGTTACAAGATGTTCTTTTATGAAACTAATTTTAAGTAGCGCCTCAAACAGGAGACATACAACCATTATACAACTGCAATAATACCATAAAACACAATAAGATTACACGAATGCTGGGAGTCAAAGCTCTTATTGAGCTATATTAACATTCTCAGAGGAAACTGTAGCTCCCGTAGTGACACTGACAATAACCTTTTCATAGCTTCCACTGTTGCACATATTCCCAATATCTCACAGGCAACAGACAGTAACGACCTGCTGCCAGTCTGGTCTAATGATCTGTTTAATTGTTCAAAATACTGGCTGAAAGACAATTATGACCCCGGTTTGACCCAAAGTCCTAATCTGGAACCACTTTACCTTAATAAAACCCTTTTTATCCTGACTTGTACTTACCTGGGTGTAGTTGAAAATGAATGAGGCACATTCCTTGTATGTGTCCTGTGTGTATGTGTAATATTTTTCAGGTTTTGTCACCCTTTGGTATGCGGCTGCTCCTTCAGTGTGAAAATCTTTCATCCTGAGTCCCTCTGTTGACCAGCAGATCATACACATACCAGGTATGACATCCACCGGGTTTAAATCTGCCTAATATCTTTACGTTGCATATTGTCAACTGTAATATAAATGGAGAAATACCTTCACAATATAGACACGGGGATCATTGTTTAAGTGAAACAAATTAACCTCAGGTGGCTCATTGCAAACGTTTGAATATTATGATCATAATTATGCTCTTATATCGTTATTGTGTATAATATTACACACAAGTAAAAGGACAAAGCAGTTGTGAGAATATGACTTTATTCCACACTTGTTTTCAACAAGATTTCACAAATACAGTTACTCAGTTATTCACCTCAGAGAACATTTATAGTTGTGACAACTGTATTTCACATCATCATTAAATGCAGTTATGTTACAACAGCTTGTTTGGAGGCAGCCACATGTTGCATTTCATATTTCTTCTCTGTTATATTCCTTAAAACACTCTTTGTAATAGCTTTCTCATTGCACAATAATATAGTAAATCTTATTACCTCAAGGTCTCTGAGCTCAACTCAAAGGACTGTGCTAATTTCAAAGTATAACTACTGGCAATTTGCTCAAAATCCCACAAAAATAATTTTGAGGCACAAAATAACAACAGAAGAGGTTCCTCTTTATCCTGAACAGCTTTATCTGAAATCCAAACACTGAATCTGTCTGTAAAGGCAAAAGTGCTCCCGAAGTCCAAATACAGCTTCTATTCGCTAAATGTGAGGAATATTTGTATATCAGAACTATCACAGTCATATTAACATTGTGATGACACCAGCTGCTCACAGAGTCTTTACTGATCCTTTCCAAAACAGCATCGACCCAACAGTCCACACCCAACAACATCTGGAGCGCAATTCTCACTCACGACCACTTTTGGTGAATGTTTGAATGAATGAAACCCCAAGTTTTCATTTGTCAGGGACCCAGACAGATACGGTCTATCCGGTCTCCATATCTCCCGTTCAGAGGAAACAATCGTTCAAACGCAGAGCGAGCTCAGAGGTAGCTTCACGAGGCGCACCGACCTCGCACGCTTTCCCCTATCAGACTGTTCCCGTTTCCAGATTATAACGTGTCGTCTTCATTTGGACTCAGATACATTTTTGAAGCTCATGTACAACGTGCTGACCAGCGTCGCCTCTTCATGCATTGAGTCCTTTCCGTCGGACTGCCGCTGGCACAGGAGCGTCACCAGCCTCTTTGGAAACTGACCGCTGAACAGAAGGTAAATGCAGGGATTGGCGCAGCTGTTCAGACTAGCCAACAACATCAGGATGGTGAAAGTCGCAGCTGGAATGACAGGAGAAGTACAAATGAGTCACGTGTTTGCAAAGCAGTATCCTTCTCACATATTAATATCTTCTTGGTTTCGTGCGTAAAAACGCACTTCTCAGATAGCGAGCCGAGACTCCAATGACTAATCATGTATTTAGAAATAAATCCCAAATAGAATAAACAGTAAAATAAAAAAAATAAAAAAAACACATCAAACTGAGAACCAGTCAGAAACACTTACACAATAACTTACTTTCTTTTGGCGCATGTTCGTCCCAGGCGGACCAGAGCTGGACAGTGAAGAAGGGAGTCCAGCAGACAATATAAGCCAGCACGATGACCACTGTCATCTTCAGCGTCTTCACCCTGGCCTTGGACATGCCGGCCACACCGCTGGCTCTGGATGGAAAAGGGAGTCCCACGCTGCCCTGCTGATGGATCTTTTGGTACAGGTTGATCTGGATGGCTCGGCAGATGCGCACTTGACAAACAACAACTGTAATAACAGGTAAAACAAAAATGACCAGCGTGGTCCAGGTTATATAAGTCTGCAGCCCCCACGGCTGGATAAAGTTAGCCCAGCAGTCAAACACGCCGGGTGCGACCTCGACCTGTGAGAAAATAAAAACCTGTGGCAAGCTGCCCAGCAGAGAAACCCCCCACGCGATGCACACAGGGATGTTCAGTCTCGTGCGCGTCCGCTGGAACTTCACCATCGGGTTGCAGACTGCTTGGTATCTGTCAACAGTCATCACCACGATCATGTAAGTCGATGAAAACATGCCGAGAACTTGCAGGTACTTCACCAGGCGGCACACCAGGTCTGGTCCAACGAATCTGTCCGTGATGTCCCACATGAGCTGCGGACACACCTGGAAGAAAGCGACCACCAGATCCGCCAGGCACAGGTGGAAGACGAAGACGCGCATCCTGGACATCTGTTTGCGCTCTCTCCAGAGGACGAGCAGCAGGGCGGTGTTGAGGATGGCCGCGCTGACGAAGATGATACTGAGCAGCGCGATCTCCACCTTGGCCAGAATCTCATCCCTCGCCACGTCCTCCTCATCCACGAAGTCGGTGTCGTTCAGGGGACGCATTGTGTTTGTGGTCGTTAATCTGACAGAAGAACGAGCTGCAGGGGAATAAAAGGGCGGAAAGTCCAGTTATAGGTTATTGAATCATATAATATTGGTTGGATTGGATTGTACATTTTCCAAAACAAAGATTAGTGTGGAAACTTATTATACAGGTCCCACTGGCTCTGCCTGGTCAGAACGGAGTCTGTTATATAATTGAGGATTTTACCACTGAAGAAAGGTTATGTTTGCTACAAGGGCCTATAATATAAGGCTACATATATTTAAACAATTATGTCAGTAAGGTATTACACAGCAAACATTCCCACCTACCTTAAGGTGAATTGGAGCTCTACTTCCGTGGCCGAGATCAGGTTGGGATTAGAGAGAGAGAAAGCGAGAGAGAGAGAGAGAGAGAGAGAGAGAGAGATGGGTGCTCTTGGTGGAGAAGGTCTCTACAATTGGGGCCCCTGTGTTTTATGAGAGGATGAAACAGGGTGGAGCTAAGATTCATTTAGTGCTGGAAAACAGATGTGATATGATTGAAAGCTCCAGAACAGCTAATAAACGAATGTTGAGGCGATTGGTTTTCAGTTCAGACTTTTATCATAGACTTATGAGCACTTAAAGCATGATTTGCTTAATGTAGTATGTAGTAAAGTATTCAGATCATTTACTTAAGTAAAATAATAACACGTACCGCAGTATAAATATACTTAATTAAAAGCACTACATTCAAAATTTTACTCAAGTAAATGCAGTAGAAGGTTTCTGTTTTATTATTACACATTTTATTAACATATTGTATTAATATTACTGATGCATAAACGTGTAATTGTAACGCTGTAGCTGGTTGAGATGGATGGGCAGTTTAATCATATTCTATGAGCAGATCATATGTTTTATATGTATAATGTTATTATGCGAATGAATAACTTTACTGTCAGTCTACAGGAGGAAAAGTACAGCATACCTCTGAAATATGGCCTAATGGAGTAAAAGTATAAAGTAGCCAACAATAAATGAGCTCAAATAGTACTAATACTTCAGTAAATGTAATCAACTGTTAAAACCTCTCCTATATTTGTGTATTTGTGTATTTGTTGTTATTTATCAGAGTTTTTCTGTGCAACAGAATCGTCTGCGAAACCGTGACGTAATCACGGCTCTCGACCAATCACAGCTCAGGACACTCCGACGTCCCAAGACTTTAAACCGGAAGCGTGAAAGTAAACAAACTAGTTGAGACTGAGAAGCGACAGACGGATCTCTCGAAGTTTACAAGTGAAATAGTTTCATTTAAGAAACGAAACAAAACGATGTAATCTTAGTGGACAGATTAAGTGATACACTTATTGATCCAACAATCTCCGCGTGCCAACATACACGGCTATGTTGACAGCTAGCTGTTAGCTAAACAGCTAATCTCTCTGTGCCAGTAAATCAGCGTTAAATAGGAAGCAGTACAGATGCCTCAGGAGGGAGAACAGGCTCTTCCTCTGGTTCGCTCCCTGAACAGCCGAGTACCCGTCAGGGCGGTGTTTTGTAACAACAGTCCCTGGGTCGTACGACCACTATGGATCGATTTCCGCGGGGAGCCTCGGGCGTACCGCGACTTACAGCCAGGGGCGAGACAACTAATGAACACCTTCATCGGTGAGTGAGGGAGCTTTTCCAATATCACAAACTTATTCTGCGTAAAGTGTTGCTAATGTTACTTTTCCCCTGACGGGAGGTCACCCAGAGACAACTGCATGTCCCAGTGCTGTTGGTATTTGTTAAAAACAACAGCCCACATTTTAACTGTGTTCATCAGTCACACAACAATACAACAACAATGAAAAGAAAAACATACACAAACATGTTGACAAACAGGGAGTTGCACAAAGTAAAGGCCCTGGGCTTATCTCATTGTGATGGGGTACAAAGGCAGAGATAGATACAAGATAAGAACTTAAATGTGAATCCCTGTATTTAGAGTTACATTCAGGAGGGGGCTAAAGCTTTACGTTTCCAACTTCTTTCAAAGTGATCAGTGGAGCCACATAATGTGAGTCTCAGTTTCTCAAGTTTGAGATGTTGCATCACTTCTCCAGTCCAGGTTGGTGGATAGGAGACTCCCAGTGGAGGAGGATCAGTCTCTGTGCTAACAAAGTGATTGTTGGGTTATTTCTATAATGTTATACTACTTGTGTTTCTTTGTGGGTAAAATATATCACTAACATGAACATGGGAGACGAGAAGCTGCTGGTCAGACGTCCATCCCAGGACGTGTGACCAGCAGCCACATCTTCAGATCCTCACACAGCCGAACAAATAAGACATTCAAATGAATCAATCAGACACAACCTATTATGAGCTCTGAGAAATTATGAGCCACAGAGTTGGTCATCAATTAGTGTCACCAAAAAGTTGGGACATGAAGACATTTAGTTCAAGTCTTGATGCTTTGATTTGCGGTTAAAGTGCAATGTGGGCTGTGTAATACACGCTCTCTGTGTATGTTTTTTTTTTTCAAGGTCACCCATGGATGTTCAGAGATGTAGAGAGTGATGAGCTACTGAAGGTGAACAGCAAAGAACTGTTTCTTCCCAAACCAGCAGAGGGTGGGAATGCTACAATTGCTACTATCACTTTACCAGGTAAGATCGGTCAAATGACTCGAAATATTAATATGTAATTGATTACTACTCACAGGCAACTACAAACACTAAATGTACATTTATGATGCACTGTGTAGTAAGTCTATTTCACAGTTGACTGTGTCTTAATAGTAAACTCCGAATAAATCGTGTTTGTTGTGTATTTTGAAAGGCTGTCAAACTGTTGTTGATTACGGCACTGTAAACAATTTCCAGTCTAATGATTTCAAGAGACAAATTAAAAAAATATTACTACTATAGTTTCTCACTTTTCTATAGGGTTATCTGGGCCTGATGGTAGTTTCAGCTTTATTTGGTAGAGTTAAAATCTTTTATTGTGACTGGTGGAAGGGGTTTGGCTTGTTTTGCTTGTCACAAACCAGATAATATTGATTGACATGTGTTTTAAATCAGGAACATTGTTATTAATAATTCCTGATTTAGTTAAATGTATTGTTTTTTTTACATCAGACATGTTTGTAAATGCAAACAGTGAAACAATCTAAAAATTAAGTTCTACAACTATAGATGTGTGCTTTACTCAAATTGATGCTGTCATTGGGTTAGTTAATGTGTTGGTTATTTTCAAGTTGGACATTTGAGAAATAATCATCTCCATCTTCCAGTACTGGCACAGATTGTACACAGATACTTGTGCTCCATTTTCCAGCACAGACTGGCTGTTCAGCTCTGTGTCTCACATCTCGGATGAGACTGAACAAGTCAGAGATGTTTATCTTTTGCCTGAAACAAACAGGCGGATAAAAAAAAAAGAAAAAAACATTGGTGTTGTCTTTCGGCAAAATTGTTATTTTAAATATTGGTTATCGGCCTAGAATGTCATAATCTGTGCATCCCTAGATTGAGCCCGTAATGTGCACGTAAAAATCACTGCAAGTTACGTGGCAGTGCGAGCAGTTACTGGCTACACACAGAGCAGTGTGGATGATAAATGAGACTGTTTGCCTTGTGTTATACAGTCGACGTGCATTGTAGTGATTGAAACCAAACAAAATTCTTAATTTTAGTTGGAAACCTTCCATCCGCATGAAAATGTGAAATTTGATTTCATCCAGAGTTCATTGCAACCAGCTGTTTTTTTTTTCCATTTTTCATCTTTACACTAGTATCAACTAGTTTGTTGTTGTAATTTGTTGAAGTAAAAGACTATATAAGGAAAGTGGTCTCGGTTTAACATTTTCTCTACATTTGACAAACACTTTGGTTTTTACAGTTTACAGCCTCAAGGATCGTGCTCTTCAGGTTATCCGGCGTCTGGTACGACCAGAAAACTACAGGAGGTTGGAAATAGCGCGGTGTCTCCACGAGGAGCTGGAAGATCCGCCCAGTGTGTTGAAAGATCTCCTCCGCATGAACCAGCGAGTGGAGCAGCATCTTCTGGAGAGGATCCAAGGCCAGGAGGAATAACTGGATGGATAACGGTCACGTATGGACAGCAATATTATATTCCACACTATTAGAAAAGCAAAGAATTGACAACATAAGTTAAGCACTGTTGGGAGTTAGTGATCGGGTGAGTGAGCAAGTGTTGCAAAGCCTTAGTTTCTTACATTTCCTGCAAACGAGACTCCGTTTGACCTGCTGCCTGTTTTTCTCCATCACTGGCAAATGTCTTCTTCAACAGAAAACAGAGGCGATTTCTTTAATATGATGAGAATGATCACAGTGAGAGGTCTGTATATTGTTTATATTCTCATGGGAACACCTTAGATAAGGTTATCTTTACTAATCCAGTATACTGCACATCTCTCAAAAAACATTTTACTTTGTTTACTGTTGTTGTTGTTGTTGTTGTTAAGCGGTTTAACCAAGACTGTATTGTTCAGCAATCATCAGCAAGCTTTTGCTTTGGCACTTTAAATCTTGATTGAGTTGCCCTATTCTGGTAAATGTTTTCAGAATATACCTACCGCCATAAATGGGCAGAATCGCCTCTAAGACTTTGTCTTGCAGGTGATTTCCAATAGTGAAAACTTAATATTTAACCGCCTTGACAGTTTTAAAGTTGAGTCTACGAAACACTGTGACTGAGGAGCATATGCTTTTTGTCTTTGCCTACTTTGTAATTCTTTTTCTCTTTTTTTTCAATTCATACATTGCGACTTTATCTCAAAGACTTTCAATGTTTATTTGTGTAAAAAAATAAATAAAAGATATATTTCTTACTGAAAGGTGAATAGTACTGTTATTTTAGTTAATCTTCTCTAAAAACAGCAATTGATTTTGAACCATTCAATTATGAACATGAGATCACAAAACCAAAAGCAATACAACATGAAATTGAGACCTTTCCCAGAGCACACAGGGGTAATTACACACTGAGAAGCTATTGTAGTGATGGATAACTGCAATATTAGTTTTATTATTGATCTTGTCTAATGATGAAACCTCTTGCTTCAGGTACAAAAACAGTAAACACCCAACAATATCCACACACCACACACAAGGGACTATTAATTATAATTGCACAGTTTATATATTTAGAAGTTTATTTGATGAATGGGACTCCTGATTTATGATTTAGGAATATTCTGTCAAACCCAATAAGTTGCATTTAATTCAATTCCAACACTCAGATAATGATCATATATAGATTGTTTGACTGTATGACAGTATTAGTATCTTTATTATCTTTGCTAAGCTTCCTTTTTACATTTTTCTCATATGGACTAAAGTGTCTGAAATAAAGTTAATCAATTAACACCATATAACAGAGCAGCATTTAACATTTTTAAAGCAGCATCATTACTTGTAATTAAGCCAATGTGGACAACGTTTCCTCTGTAATATATCAAACCTTGTACAAGCTGAATACCTTCACGTAATTAACACTTGTTCAAACCCAACTGTATAAGCTCACAGACAAACACAAGGATGTCCAGTCCAAGTGACTGTCATGATCTGAAATTATAACCAGCTCCGGTTTACCACAGCAGGGGTAGTGTTGCCAAATACGTTGCTAAGCAACAAAGTAACACAACCCATCTCTGTGTGTGCGAGTCGAGGTGAGTCAGGTGCAGTAATATCTGGAACATGCAGGCAGCGGAAAAGAAGAAAACATGGGACTCGAGTCGTTTCAGGCGAGAGCAGTGAGTACTTTGTCCCTGTCAAGAGCTTTCCCTGTGTCTCACACAAATGTACAGTATTTGTTTTGCAGCTGGGATCCAGTGCTGAAGTGGTTTTGTTGGGCTGAAGGAATATAGACGGGAACTAATATTCATGATCCTTCGATTTTCTTCACCAGCATGACATTTTGGTCAAGGAGTCACCCGGTCATGTTTCCACATCTGCAGACAGACCACTGGAGCAAAATGAAAACAATGGTGAGATTAAATTAGACAAACCCGCTTATACTAAACACATAAACTAACTAACTCTTGACTGATTGGTAACAAACACATAAACTACTTTGTATACTTGTGATGTGTTTTTACCACCCAGGTCCCAGTTTATCTCGCATCAGTTCCAGCTGCTTTATTGAAGGACACAGGTTTGTAAAAAAGACCCCATTTAACAGACACAGTACAGAGAGCAAAACTGCTCTTATGTAACAAAGGAAAATGTGTCTCTAATTTGGCTTTATTACATGGTCTCTGGTGTATGCGTCACATGAAGGTGCTAGTCTGAACTGTACCACCACCAGCCTGTTACCTCCTCTGACTCAGGATGAAACTGAAGTGAGTGATCTGGCCCCCTTCATGGCGCGAGGACCCAGTAGGTCCCACATTAACAGTAGTAAGTAAGTTAGTAATTACTATTTATTTGCTTGCCTTCTGTTTCACTATTATATGTATTTTTTTCTTCAGGCAGACATCAAAACACACCAAAAACCTCCCCTAAAAACATGCCCCAGTACAGGAATGTGTTCAATGACCGTGCAAGGAGGGACTTCTGCTACTGGCTCGTGGAAAGGAAGGGCTCAACATGCAAGTACTGATTAATGCCCCGAGTGCAGCAAAATAACACCTATACAATAAGTATCAGCTTGGTGGGACATTGACACGCGCCTGTGGTTGGGAGGAGTGAGATCCATAACTCTCTAATCTCTTTCATTGCTCATCCTGCTGCTCAGTTATGAAGCTTATATTTAAAGAAGCCTCAGTGATCTCTCCAACAACTTTGATGCATTGTTGTGATCAGTAGGTCACACATTTGGATTGTATCATTATTTGTCCATCACAGACCTAATCTTTACTCATACAATTTTAATAATTATAATAATAATAATAATAATAATAGGTTTGGTTTATTATAAAATATTATAAAATGTGGATTAAGGATCAGGATGGAAATCTGCTGCACCTGTATATCTGAACAGATAATCAGTATCTTTTGTATGTCATTAAATTAATGTAATTACTTCAAATGTCTATCACAAGCAGCATTTTTACTATGTGTTTTGTATTGTAGAATTATGTCACATTACATTGTGCTTGGTTTTCACAATGGTCAGGAGACTGATGCGTCTTCATTTCTTCCTTACAGGTAAAGGATACAGCTTTGGTGCCTACAAGACCTCTCTGGGATTACCAAAAGTCTAACAAAAAGTGTTACTGTCTGATATTTCTTTTAACCCTCTCTCCAAATCTGTTTAAAGAAACATGATTTGGGGGATATAATGTATAATCTTCTATGACCTTTAGAGTGTGTCCACACCCTGAATCTGTAAAGACACCATTTCACAACTGGAAGTGCTGTTAATTTTAAGAATTAAACTTTGGAATCAAAAATCGTAGTGACTGCAATGATGTGCTGAGGATATGTGTAAAATACTGTATCTACCAACAGTATGCTGAATTAAAAAAAACAAACATTTCGAGGGGAGCTATTAGGTACACTATCTGAGCAAAAAGGAAATGTTCTTTGCATTGTTTTTGTCATAGAGAATTATGACCAAGGTTTTAAGGTGAAACAAGTACTGAGTACGTTTCTTAGTGTAGAATCACTGTTCACCATTAAATACAAGTAATGTGTCCCACCTTTCACCACATTTAAAAGTAGTCTTATAATCTTATATTCTCTTCTTCTAAATATGTTAATCGTTTTTATCCTGCCTTCATTTTAATAAAAAGAAAAAATCTGAATTGTCTTTTATTTTTGAAGTCTTTTAATTCACCCTCTTTATTTTTGTTTTCAATGTGTGTGTGTAATTTGCTATAAACTAATGTGCTTACAGTAGAATATGTAACTCTATTGTTTTGAGCACTGAACATTGAACAATGAATGTCTGACGCACAGCATCCATCCTTTTATAAGTTCACAGCGTTTTTAAGGTAGACAATAAGTTTTAAAATAGGAGCTGTGCTTACCGTTTCCTGTAGTTATTATTTCTAATCTATTGATTACATCCTACCTGTACGCACTTTATATGACTACATTTCGCAATCACCCCAGCAATGTCGCCCACCTGTGCTCGCGGGGTTTGACCTACATACTGTCAATGGGTTTGGCGCTCATTAGTCAAATCTCGTTGGATTGAGTTCAATCAACCCGATCTCGCGATATGTAAACCCGATCTCGTCGCTTGGTAACGTTCAAACCACGCGGTCGGACAGGGGACGTTACTACCATCTAGCGGTTGATTCAAACACAAACTTTAAGATTCAGTCCGACATTAAACATGAACCGCGTTCATACTTTGTTTTTGTTCAGACACATTGTGAGCGACAAATCCTTTAAGCTAACGAGTAGACCTTTCCTGACTGAACCAACGCAGATAAAGTGACAACTGAGTTTGATACGTAACGTTACCATTGCTACTGTGCCGAGCCTGAGACGGTAACTTACCAACTCTTCCACATTGGTTAACTCAGTTCTGTACATTTTAACAAACTATGTGAGTTATCGGTGTAAATTCATAATAAAAATAACAGCGGCTATCAAGGCTGTTTTCAAAGTGACCTCTTGAAATAGGTAATGTGAGCTAACACTGAACGCTAAAGTGAAGGCGCTAATGTTTGCTAAATGGCCTCTTTTATTGAGAAACTGTCACCAGTGGCTTTATCCCGACCCATTGTAGTCCAAATGCTTAAAGTCAACCTAAAGTTAGGTTTTTACTTTTAATTTCAGCAAAAAAAAAAAAAAATCTCATCATCTAAAATTGACACATAAAAAAAGCTGCATCATATTGTTAAAAAAAATGTGTTTTGAGTCATTAAAATATACATTTGAGCATTTAATTGATTTAATAATTAACTGACCTACATTATTCAGGGTTTTTCCTGCAGTACTTTGTAATTGAGGTAGGCCGGATTAACCTGCTGCTTATTATTTATATGGATCCCAATTTGTTATTTTGGCTCCTGTGGTCCACTATAGTTATTGGAATAATACCTGTCCTCACGGTTTACAGGTGCTCAAGTCGGGTCAGGACAAGTAGAGTTTCTTAACAGGGTCCTTGGGGCAGAAACCTGTTTTGCCCAGTTGGTAACCCGGCCTTGGGGTCACTTCACCTAAAACAAAGACCACCTCTGTCTAATGATGCCTGATACAGCTCTATGAATACAGTAATGATAATAACTTGATTTTAGTAGCACTTTTCTTAACATAGTAACAAAGTCCTTCAACAGAGGTCATGAGAGACAGTAATACAATTATACATAGATACCAGATGAATGAGATCCAAGTCAGTTAAAAGACCAGTTTTAAAAGGTTTGTTTTTAGCTGATGTTAGAAAATACAGAAGTAGCAATAGTGAACAGTAATTAAGTCCACAGTTTAGGTTTCATGACCTCATATTCACTGTCACCCTTGGTTGAAAATCTAGACTGTGAAAAGGGCTTGTTCTCTGAGTTCATAACCTACTGGGAGAATTTACTTTTCCCTCAGCAAATGCTGTATATTTAAAGAGTGTTGCCACTGTTTATGTTTTCATATACTAACTATATCTATATCTGATGCTTTTATGTTTTCACCTTATTGCTCGCATGATGTATTTGATGGTCATACAGATCTGTTCATTCCTTACCCAACTGTATTTTGGATTAGGATCTCAGACATGGACAGCAGCAGAAAGAAGGTATCGATGAAGTGGCGACGAACTGCAGTCACGTCACCCACACATCTGCAGGAGAGAAATGCTGGCTTGGGCACACCGACTCGCTGGAATATGTCGCCGAATGAAGATTCAAACACTTTGCCCCTCAGTGACTCTCCAGGTCCTGATGGTCTTGGATCACTGAGTCTGGACACTCCCAAAAGAAAGGCAGTGGTGCTTGGTGAAAGCACACCCTCTTTAGGCAAAGTTAAGCTGAGAAAGCTTTCCAAGAGAAATTATGCAAATTTCCTAACTTCACAGGTAAATCTTTAATGTAAATCTTTCTCTGCCTATATTTTAATTGTACATCAGGAGTGTTTTTATCTAAACTTGATCACACCTGAGTCTCAGATGTGCTATCATGCAATATTTTACTGATTTATTTGTCCTTTTGCACTGTAACTATTAGGAGAAACCTTTGGACAACTCATCCAAGCAGCTGGAATCCACCGAGAGCCAGCAAGCGTCACCTCCTCTGTCTCACTCTTTTGTCTTGAAAAAGAACGAGAGGACACCGGAGGAGGGATCAAAGGCCATCTACAAGAGGGCATTGATTGCAGCCATCGACAGCACAGCGAATACCCCCTCGACTCGCACCAACAGCCTGTCTTTGCCATTTGTATCTTCACCAGAGAAGACAGACGAGGCCAGCCCAGCGTCACTTGACAGAACGGTCGTGAGTATCAGCTGTTCCTCGACCAAACCTGAGAATAAATCCGAGGGCGCCAGCACTGACGAGGATGATCAGTGGTCCCCCATTCGGATATTTAAGGACACAGAAGCCCAAGGGGACCACTCAGAGCTAAAAACAGACAGAAGGGTAAGTCAGCTAACGCCTAGTAATTGGTGTTTGCATATATATATATATATATATATATATATATATATATATAATTTAAATAAAATGTGTTCATTTTCTTGTCTGTGATTTTATTTATGTTCGTCTAACACATTGTTTTCATATTTTTCATTTAAAGCAACCATAATATTTGTACAGAAGCCATAAAATGTATGTTCTTGAAATATTGGAACCATAGTATCATCATCAAGCCATTGAGGATTAAAAGCTAAAGGGATTTTCTTCATTATTCATGTTTTTCAGAGTGTTGTCATAAAAGGAAAAGATTCACCTGAGAAGTTTGTTGCTCAGGACTCTGTGTTTATAGAGGCAACCTCCCAAGACAAGTTATTTGCTGCAGAAGACTTTGGCTCTCCCCTCCCTGCTCTGGAGTATATCCCACATTCTTCGTCTTATTTTGGAACTCCTCAGAGAGGCAGCCGACAGTGGCAAAGTCCTTCAGTGAACACCCAGGATGCTAGAGCTTTCTCTCTCGCCTTCTTATCCACTAATAAAACCAGTGCGGCCATGCAGGCAGCCGCCGGGGACATGGCGATGCCTTTCTCACCATCACAAAGGAGCGTTTTTGTCTCATACAAGCAGCGCCATTCACCAAACATGGGCCCTTCAGAGGCACCCAGAGCTGAGAATGTTTGCTCGTCCAATATTACGGCCCGTTTATTGGATCCCTTTGCTCTGCCACTACACTCAAATAGAGGAGTATTGAACCCTTGCTACAACTCCACAACCACGCGCAGGCACTCAGATACTGGCTCTTTCATGCATTACTCCCCCTACTCCTTCACTCATGGTGGCACTCATGAAAGAAGATTATCCATGGGGGCAGAACGTGTATGCAGCAGTTACCCCTACATGGACAATCAGGTTGGTTTCATAGACACACACTGCCATCTAGACATGCTCTACGGAAAACTTGACTTCTGTGGGACGTTCAGCAGCTTTCGAAGGCAGTTCCAAAGCAGCTTTCCTCCAGAGTTTAGAGGCTGCATCGCCAACTTCTGCAACCCCGCAATCATGGTGAAGGAGGCCCTGTGGGAAGGTTTACTGGCTGAAGACATGGTATGGGGGGCATTTGGGTGCCACCCCCACTTTGCCAAAGACTACTCCAATGTCGATGAACGCAACATACTGATGGCCATGAGGCATCCAAAAGCTGTGGCCTTTGGTGAGATGGGCCTGGACTACTCCCACAAAAACTCCACTAACGCCTCCAAGCAAAAACAGGTACGCTCTACTTTGATAGTGTTAGAGTTGAATTAAACAGTTTATCTTAAACTAGATAATTATGAATGTTCTGGTCCGTGTTTTGTTTCTCTGCCTTTCCATGAAGGTGTTTGAGCGTCAGTTGCGTTTGGCTGTGGCCATGCAGAAGCCTCTGGTGATCCACTGCAGGGATGCAGATGATGACCTGCTGACAATCATGAGGAAGTGTGTCCCTAGGGAGTACAAAATTCACAGGTGTGTGTGGAGGCAAATCATCTAATTGTTGGTTACTAACTAGTTAAAAAATGTTATAATCCAAAATGTATTCCTGTAATAGCCATCTAATATATTTATCTCTATATATATGTATCTCTGTGCAGTAGTTTCCACTTTTTAGGACTTGGACTGCAAACTTGAGGATTATAACTTTAAGGACATTTCAAAGTGTAAACTGTTACACATTTAATCTTTTAATTTTCTTCGTCGATTACTTTTGTGGTTTCCAGGCACTGTTTCACAAACAGTTATCCAGTGATCGAACCCTTCCTGGCAGAGTTCCCCAACATGTATGTGGGCTTTACAGCCCTGATTACCTACCTCAGGGCCGTCGAGGCCCGAGAGGCTGTCCGCCAGATCCCTCTTAACCGCATTGTGTTGGAGACAGACGCACCATACTTCCTGCCCAGACAGGTACGTTTAAATTGAGACCCAGGAAAAGCAAAACACTGCTCTAATGTCAATAATGATTGCCAGGTTGATTTTTTCCCCCCAGCCCTTAATAATAAATGACAAACTATGCATCATCATTTATGTCAGCTCAACACTTACTACACAACTGCTCTTTTGCCTCAAGTTCATCATTCAGTCAAGAATTTTAATTATTTATTTACTTGTTTTCAAGTAAAGTGACCCTCATGTTTGATTTTATGGAGGGATGAGGGTCTCCTCAAAAATATTCAAAGGAGTATACTCTTGGATAAGTATGTATATATATTCAACTCCTGTTAATCACCTTGGACTGCATAGTATTTGATCACAAATTGCACAAATTAGAGTGGAAAGAGTTAATCAGTTAGTCGATTGAGATAATTTATCAAACCATTTTTATAGTCAGTTAAGTAATTTTTTCTAGGAAACTGCCAATAATTGATTAGTTCCAGTTTTTCAGTTGTTGGGACAAAACATGTTATTTGAATAATGAAAATAATTGTTAGTTGCAGCCCTAATTCCTACCAATTTGATTTTGTCATTTAATTTAATTTTTCATTTCATTTCATTTCAAATCTGTGAATGTTACCAAACAATTATATCTTTGATGTTGCCTAAGGTGCTGCTAACTAAGAAGCTTCAGGCCACTAAGGTCTAAAACTGTTGGTGGGGATTTTCAAAAATCTGCATTGGTCAAATATTTTTTCTTTGAGGTGACCTCCACATTACTGTACTCTTTACAACACTGTTACACAAACAGGAGTACATTTTGAATACATACATATGATAAGTGTGTCTCACTCGTAACAGGTGAAGAAAGATGTCTGCCGGTTTTCGCATCCTGGAATGGGCATCCACACTCTGCAGGAGCTGAGCCTGCTGAAGGGGGAGGACATGGCCACAGTCCTCACCACCATCCGAAACAACACCACTCAGCTCTACGGCATTTGATCTTCAGAGGTGATGGATAAAAACTAGCAAGCAACAAGCAAACACAATGTTTTTGAAGCTGGTTTGTGACACAAATATTTTATGTGGCTTTTTGTTTTCGATTTATTAATCCTCCATGTGGAAATGTTGGAATATGGAGTCTCATTTTAATCAACCTGAACGACTCTTAAAAACAGTGACTGAAATGAAAATGTCTCTTGTCTACTAGAGTCACTGCATATCATTGTTTATCTAATTATATTTGAGGTAATTGTTCATCATAGAAATTAATTCCTGAGCAGTTTTGCTTTTAAGTTGTTTTTGCTGTGTTACCATAATTTGTCATCTCTTGCCTTGTTCTAATTTGTCTGGATGTTTGTGTTGTCCGGTTGCTGTGTAGTCTGTTTGGTTTGATACACATATTAAAAGCCTTTAACCCTGCTTTTTTATTGTACTGATTAATCCACATAAGTCTAAAATGGAAGAGAGTAAAGTATGTCTGTAATACAGCGATGCAAACGTGGTGTTTTCCACGAGTAAATCTTATTTTGTATTGAAGAAAGGAAGTGGCTGTGAGATGTGTCCATTAGCTTGCTTTGATACCGCCATGTTCGGCATGCGCATTTGGCTTAAGTGCGTTTTATTTTGAGAATGATTAGCCTGACCTACTTGTGAAATTTTCTAGTGGTTAGAGTATGCCATCTGAGGATCTGATTAGTGGTAGATGTGTCTCAGGTTTGACAAAAGGGATGTGTTAAAACACAGACATTCACCCTTTTCCGGGTTCTTAATGGAAACCTTGTTTCCAATAGTTTTGGATCCTTTCCAGCATGTAGGCACAGTGCACATCATGTTCACGGCTGTACATCTGTGCTTATTAAAGGCAGCAAGGTGGGATGCAGGACAGATACAAGCATAAGAGCAGTACATGCTTTGCTGTGTTTGACCTAGTTCTTGAGATCTGAACAGGAAGTTGCATAACCTTGTTATAGGACATTGCTCATTTGATGTTCATCCCTTGAATAAAACACGTAGAGGTAGAGACCCTAAAAAACCTTTGGAGACTGTCAAAGCAGCAGACTTCAGGACTGTATCTACTAACTACTATAGTTGTTTTTAATGTCCATTTTCTGTTTTGGTTCTTCGGTCACATGAAAGCTTAATAGAGACGAATGTCAGAAAATTAAAGCCCAGAAACCATTCTCAATTATATATCCTAATTAAAGGGAGGAACACACACCCTTGTCCATCCTCCCACCCTAACTCCTCCATTTCACCCAGAATCTTGACCTTGAGTTTCTTTAAGTTTAATACCTGCCAAAGATGACACAGAGAGGCAAAAGGTTAATTGATGCTTTATTTTTAAGAGCACATGTTGGTCTCTGATGACAAAGAAGGGTCATGTGATGACAGCTGAACCACTGATGAAGACTGGGATTTGGTTGAACGCTACAAAACTACCCTGTGTTCAAATTATTTTGCCAAATTTTAGACATTCATGGTTTAACCCAAACAGTTGGCAGGCCTGGACATCAGTCATGTTTCTAACATTTAGTGGTACAAACTGTAACTTAATTAGCTCCCAGTCTGAGTAACAATGAAGAGCTAAATAATACATTAATATTTGAAAGAGACCAGCATGTTTTCACTATCTAATATAGTTAAATATTAAAGGCACTGAGACAAGATTAGAAATTTGTGATCATGATCTTCAAAGTTGTGGTGGTGTCTCTGAAAGGAGATGAAACATTATGTTAAAAATAATACCAGTGGTTTAATTATTTTACTATATATTGGCTGAAGGGAAAACAACTTTGTTATTTATAAAACAGGAACCAGGCAAACCTGCTGTGTCCCCGTTCCCCAGCAGATGCTGAATGATCTCCTGCAGCGCTACACCGTACTCCTCAAAGTCCTCTTCTCTCACAGTGACGCCAATTTCAAAGGGCGCACTTATCTGCTCGGGGAAGAGGAAGACCATCGAGTTAGAGGGAAGAGTTTGGGTGGTGTGTGGTAGTCGTCATGAGTGTGATTTCCACTCACTGTGATGTGGTTGTCCTCAGTGGGCTGACTGGGCTCCTCCATGGTTTGGCGGCCGACCCTGGAAGACTTGCCTCTGCTCTGTGGTTGAACAGAGAAATCTCATGATTGTAACCAACTCAGCTCTACATTAGAAGTTCAAATGCAGTCGGAGATTTACATACTTCTCAGATCTTGAATAAAGTATAGAAAACAATTAAGTTATATCATTGTATTAATTCATTTCATGTGATGTGTCAGATTTCCCTCTTTTTACTCCTCTAATTTAGAAATTGTCATCATTGTAGGACAACATGCCTGCAGACTGACAAAAAACATTTGAAGATATAATTACGGGTGCAATTATCACATATCCCAAAGATGACTGTTGTGAATGTGAAAAAACTGAAAGTTTCAGTCACATTACAACACATTTAACTTCAAAATTTAATAAATTTGCACACACTGAGATGGCAGGAGCTTAAGTAAGCCTGTTATCCTAAATAATGAGGCAAAGAAACATGATTAAGTGTAAAATATTGATGCATAGTCACACTACAAGCTCATTGTTAACTTAATATAACTCCATCTTCCTTATGTTGAACATGATGATGGTTTCATATTCAGAACAGTAGGATTCAAAGGAAACAGATACACACATAATTTAATTCTTATATTTTCACAAAGAATTAAAGCGTTAATAAATATATTAAATATAACCCAAATGTGTTGTGTTAAATGACACTTTACCTGAGGTTTTTGTGAAGGGCTGAGGAAGCTGGAGCCTGCGCTGGTTGACTTGCACCACAAGGTCAGAGAGCACAACAGAACCACCAGCAAACAGGTATTTTTTTTCAAAAACATGGTGGAAGGAAGATCTCAGCTGTTCAATCTACTATAGACAGTAGACAAAGTCTACCATGTAAATGTGTTGAGCTGCTGAACATCGACATGAATTCAGCTTCTGACTTCATACCTTTATGTACCTTTCATCCTCTTTCGTTTTGGTTTGAAAAAATGTTTCGATATAATGGTAACAGGTACTTGTGCTGTCATATCCTGGCAGCATTGGACTGTTCAAATGTTTAAATTGATAACAAAGTTGGCATTTTTCTGTTGCAACCTGTTGTAGCCGGCTGATCACCTATTGTATTCAATGGGGTGATGGAGGTAATAGTATCGCTGTCATAGAGATACAGATAAATGGGACTGATTCAGCCTGTTATGCACGACTACAGCAACATACCAATATTGAGCTATTATGTGTAATGTACGTGGAAAATATGACAGATAGTGTTTAATTAGAGAGAACACTAACAATATCAGCACAGTTAAATATTAAGGTTGATAATAAACAATCACACTGCTTAACAGTAAAGAACTATTTTAATATGCCTTAAGTGAATGTAGTGTAAACGGATATTTGATAAGATTATGTGGTAAAACTAACAGGCCATGCCATTATTTTTCTGTTTTAGCTATAAAATCAGACTACAAACCAATATTTAAAATAAATTAAAACAGAGTATAAGTATTTGTTCTCCACTCAGTTTATCAGTTACTATGAATTATTTTGAGATGAGAATGTGTGCAGGATGTGATAGTTTTTTTGTTTTTATTGGGTTGTAATAGATCCAGATCCAAATCCATTCAACCTCGATGTAGGACACATTCAGCAGGTACTCACAAAGCGTTTACGATACGATACTTCTACCTCTTTCTCCACATGTAATTTAGATATAAGTTTTTCTTTTGAAAGTTACTGTAACATAAGCCATAGTTCAGGAAATAATAGCTCTCAATAAATAATGAATTTGTGATATCAGTGAAATTGTGATGTCTTCCAACTTTATCCCAACCTTTTAATTTTCCATTCAGTGTTCATTGATCTTACAATCTTTTAGTACAAAATGTTCACGCATTATACACACTGTAGGAGTGTTAGCACATCTATCTGGAAGATGGACACCTCACATAGGGATAATACCCGGGTGCCTGACACAATTCAAATACTGCTACAAGGCATATGTAGCAGTACACATAAGCTGAGCTACCACACACTGAGGAGTGTGATCAAATGGCTTGGAAGCAGATAAGAGGTATTAAAGAGAACATTTTGAATGGTGAATGTTGTGTTTTTTATGAATAAGACCCATTATTGACTATTAGAACCTCCCCCGGGAGCACTGACCCTTGTAAAGAAGAAGCAAAAGGCTGAGGTCCAGGTCAGAGGAGCTTAACCTGATCTAATACTGACTGTAATCTCATGCTGGGAACTGCACCTCTGCTGGATATATTTATTTGTGTGTACCAGCCGAGAGGACTGAATCTAACATCATGTATTAGAGTTGCAGAGTTGGAGGAGGAAGAGTGAGGAAGAAGATGTCCCGAGGAGGCGGATCCACCAGAACATCAGGGGCAAGGTTACAATAAGAGGTTCCAAGATATTTTAGCACATATTTGATCGGTCATTTCATCCGGAGGCCTGGGAGCTTAGATCGGGTTGTTGTCTTCTCCCAGGATGAAGATTATCCCAATAAACAATAAACTGGAAAGAGATATTACACAACCTTTTTAGCTTTTAACTACCACATAATCTACCTTTTCTATAACGCTCGGTTCAATTAATGGTTACTTAAAAGACAAAGTTGCATCCAAGATAGAGAGGAGTCAGGTCATAAAGACTTCAAGAGGACTGGATAGGAAAAAATGTATCAGGCAAGAGCAGTTTGGGATAGTTCGAGAGTACTCAATGATTTACTCATATTCCCCACAGACACTCTGTGATTATGTGGTAGAAACATTAGAACATTTGTTTACTCTGTGTGTGCATGTGGCAATATTTTGGCCTGATTTCTAGTTAGATCTTAAAACACATTAATATGGAAAAGAACATGATTAGTTATTAATAGTCACCAATTCTAGTTTCTCCAGCAATTAACAATGTTAATTGGCTCATTAATGAATAATAGTTAATTAGTTAATAATAACATTGTTCATAATATGAAATGTTTGAACTAAATACTATCTTATATTAAAACAAAATAACAAACAGATCTGAACATATATCATCAAACACTTTCACTTTTAAAAACTTGAAAACTTTATATACATTTAAACAAACGTATTAACTTCTGTAAACTCTTGAATATTTTACTGGCTGAAATTAACCTCTTGTGTTATGTTTGTTTGTTTTAATTTGTCTTTAAACATATTTTATCTTTGTCTTTTTTTTACTGAAAAGTTTAAGTTTGAGAGTTTATTTAAAATAAGCCACTAGTCGACTCGTCCAGCAGGTGGCGCCATTACAACCGGAGGAAGATGAAGAGAAACACCGACGAAGAAGAAGTAGTCGGTCACAGTTAGCTAACACAACCCTGTTACTGGGTCGTGGCGCAGAAAAGAGTTGGTAAACATGGATAAAAAGAAGAAACCCTTCGATGTAACTGCTTCATCGGTGAGTCACACTGAGAAGCAGCCTTACAGACATTTTATCGATACACTGTGCGGCTGTGGGACGTTTAATTCATCGATAATATCAGCTGATGTTAGCTTACCTGCTGTCAGGCTATATTGCCAGCCAACTGTTTACAGATGCCAAAGAATCATCATTTAAAGCTTATTGTTATATTTTTGGTAAACATGTTGTTTGTTGCAGCTAGTGGACCTTAAAGCTGAACTGTACAGAAAGCAGGAACAATTCAAACAGGACAAACTTGGGCAAGAAAACGCCGGTGGATTCTCATCAAGATCCAAAGTTAAGGTACAGTTTGTTTTATTTTGGGATATATTTGTTCCTGCTTGTATAACTACAGATTGAGATCACTAAGCAGTGTCTTCATGCTCCTGTGTAGAAACCTAATGTCTGGAGCAAACAAAATGCTGGTGTTTCAGCAAGAGCTGAGAAAGATGCAGAGCAGCTGGCTGAGGAGCAGAACAGCCTCGATACAGCAAAGTGAGTTTAACACATTATACAGGAGATTTAATGTTATAATGTAATGGTGACCCAAACCTCTGACTCCTCATTTATCTTTGTGTAACAGACGCAAGCTGGAGGAGAAAGCCAAACTTTACGAGCAAATGACAAAAGGAGACTTTCCAGGTTGGTGGAGTATAAATTATATAATCCTTAATTGTAGTCGGCTGACAAAATGTATTTAATTTGTAATCAACTTGTCTTTTGATACGTCAGATGAAGAGACAGAGGGACTGTTCCTGGTTGACTTCACCCAGAAGATTATTGATAAAAAGAGAGAAACACTTGCACAGAAGGAAAGAGATGATGAGGAAAGAAACAACTCGTCTCCTATCCCTCCTCCTGAAAACCCAAATGAGGAATGGTAACGAGATTAATTCATTTTAAAGGGTTTGGAAATATGTAGTATAGTTAGTTTGTTGTTTTATTAAGTTATTTAGCTAGTACTACCATTACTAACCTAAAAAATTCTAGTTAAAATCAAAACTGTGAGAGTCTGTTATTAGACCGTGCTCATGCTGGATTGCTCCCTGTAGGGTGGATTATGTGGACGCTTTGGGCCGATCTCGAAGGTGCATGAAGAAAGACCTGCCAAATTTTAAGAGAATGGACCAAGACCTTAAAGGAAAAGGGTAAATCTTCAACAAATAAGAATATCAGACACACATTGCTATTCTAAGTAGACTATTTCTATATATCTAAGGAGTGTCTGGAGGGAATCTTTAAACGTGCAGGTGAAGGTTTCTTAAGATTGGAGACTGGGTGTGATGTTGGGAACTTCAGCTCCTTTTGGATGTGATTATTTCATTTAGAAAAGCCTCAGCTGACAAGACCTTACTCTCAGAGGACATGCGGCGAGAGCTGCAGAGGCAGGAGTGGGAGAGAGAGGAAGAGGAGGCTATGAAGAGGCCCGTCGGACCAATCCACTACGAGGATATCAGGGGACAAGGTTACTGTTAAAGCATTTCTAAAATGTTACAGAAGACATTTAAAATGGTGTATTTGGGCTGTAGAGAGAATTTTGTCCGTCTGTTCATCTCAGAGGCTCGGGAGCTCGGTGTTGGTTACTTTTCGTTCTCTCAGGATGAAGAGCACCGCCGAAAGCAGAGAGACACTCTGGACATGCTCAGAGACCAGGTGAGCTGCTGATCAACTGACCAATATAAACACTGAAATATATCAATATCTTTTGTCCCCTTCCCTTGATCACCTCACCTCACACTACAAGCATGCTCTCACATCTATGTACATTCAACACATCCATCCATAACTGGACTGACAAACATATGTTGTCCATATTCATCTTTGCATTGTCTTTGTTTTGCTCAGTACATGCCCACTGTTCCAAGATTTGGCAAAGCTGCTACACATTTAATATCCTGCACTTGTTCTATTAAATGAATAAAAGCTATTTTGAGTCTAAACAGATGATTAATGCCCTCCTTTTTAGTTTTTGCTTACCCTTTGTTTCTCTTTTACATCTGTCCCGTCCTTCAGACAACAGAGCAACGCACTAAGAGGGAACAACTGAAGGAGAAGAGGCAGACCATCCTGCAGGCCCGACTGGCCAAAGTGAGGCAGAGGAAGGTGAAGAAGGTCAAGCTGGATGGCACTGAGGAGGAGAAAGAAGGTTAGAATCCACACACACCTCAGATCAAATGCAGCTGTGAGCTGTTGGCTCTGTTTGATATATTAGAATTGGAGCAGTGACCACATTGATGTGAATGGGGGATTGTTTTGAATTGTTTGTCCTAGGAGATGAGAGGGAACCAGAATTAATTGGACCCTCACTTCCACCAGAGGAGTTCCCAGAGGTCAGCACAGTGAAGAAGGTGGAAGTGGAGATCCAGGAAAGGAAGGACACCAGACCAGGAGTTCCTCATGTCAGAGAATGGGACAGAGGCAAAGGTAAGCCTTATTATTTAAAGAACCTAAATTCACATCACCTATGACTACAAGGCTGTTCATGTTTCCACCTGATTCAGATCACTCTATAGGCTGTAGTATTGTTAAGGCATTGTGCATCATTTTTGCAGTAAATTTAGGTGTTTCTTCACATCGGCAAGTAGCCGTCTAAAAAATTCATAAGTGGCTAGTAAAGTTAACAGTTATATAGATGTTCATCTCTCTGCCCTTTTTGTGGTCATTTGTTTGAGGGCTGTGTATATATATATATATATATATATATATATAATTAAATGTGTCATTGATTAGACAAGAATTCAAACTGAATTGTGTATGCAGTAGATAATTGTGCTTCCTTTTTCTTGCAGAGTTTATGTTTAGTGAATGGAAATCTCGATGTCGCGAAGAGCGAGATTCAGAGTTTGCGCCTCCCTCTGCATACTTTACTGAGGGGAAGAGACAGAAACTAGGGAAAAATGTAACTCAGGAGAATAAATCTAAAATGTCCTTCAAGTGGACAAAAGGCCCAGGAGGAATCTCCGAGAGCAAGGAAGAACTACTATCTGAGCCTGAAACTGCTCCCTCACCTCCTCAACCTTCTCAACCTTCTCAACCTCCTCAACAAAACCCACCTACTCTTTCACAACCACAGGTGTCATCACAGTCATCACCTTCAGATCACCCAGCAGCTCCAGCTCCAGCTCCAGAGTCTGCTCCCCCTTTTAATCCCCAGTATCAAGCTCCTCCATTTTATCCTCCGTTTCTTCCTCCTCCTCAGTTTGCTGTACCACCTCACCTGCTTCCTCAGTTCCCCCCTCAGTACCCAAACCAGTACCCAAACCAGTACCCAAACCAGTACCCAAACCAGTACCCAAACCAGTACCCAAACCAGTACACCCCTCAGTATCCTCCTCAGTATCCTCAGTATCCTCCTCAGTATCCGCCTCAGTATCCACCTCAGCAGCCCCTCCAGCCCGCAGACCTCAGCCAGGCCCAGCAGCCTGCACAGAGTATAGATGACATGCTGTCCTTTTACAGGAACTCTTCCTGATCTCCAAAGTATCATGTTTGCTCTGCAGTTGGTGCACATTGTGAGCGTAAATATTTCTGGGTATATATTTCAGAACAGAACTCAATGTCTCAGCTCTTTGGAGTTTTACTATTTAATAGATTATAGCAATTTAGCTAAATTTCTGGATCTGCTTATACTGTTCAGGCTCATAGGAAGCTGAAGCTTATTACAGGGGAGAGAGGGGAGTACATAGGTCTACTGGACAGCTCACCAGTGACAGGGCAAAGAAGCACATTCACACCCAACAGTGTTTTCCTTCTAAGGGTTATAACTAACACTCAGATGTTACTTTATGAAAATCAATGTTTGCAATAATGGAAAAATAAAAATCCCAATTTTGGAAAAGACTGAAGGCCTCATCTAAAATCATTTACTGGATGTCATGTTGATAAGTTGTAACTGGATTCTCCAACAGGAATGGACTGAAGCACAAAGCAGGCTGTAGGCGAAGCCACAAGAGGTCACAATTGTACAAGTTGTTTGGGGGGTTTGCCATCGTAATAAAAGGTCCAATGTAACACAATGTAATGTGCAACGTAATGACCATTTGAGTTAGAAAGGTTATGACAACATTTTTAAGACTTATTACTTAACAGGCTTTTGAACTCTAAGGTTTCCTATGGGGACAATTACACACACGTAGACGGGTGTCAAAGGAAAAAACCTGAATGTGCGAGTGGAGAAATATGTCAAACGCATATGCTTTTATACAGGACATTGAATGGTTAGATGAGAATGAAAATGATAGAAGAATGGAGAGGGGTGCAGAGACTACAAGATTTGTGTTGGTTTTTCCTCAAGAGTGTAGGAAAGTGAAAGGAAAGGAGAAACTACGGTTGCTGCAAAAACATGAAAAACGCAAACTAATTGTTTTATTTATTCTTATTTACAGACAGTATTATGTGTATGGAAGGTTTCTACAGTAGCTCAGCACAGGTAAACCAAACACTGGCCCTATAAAGAAGCTTTGTGCAGTTTCTCCTACATGCTTGAAGGGCTGAATTCAAAGGCTGTATTAAAATGGTTGCAATCTGCAACTTCACCACTAGATGCCACTTAATCATACTCCACTGGTCCTTTAACTAT